TTTCCTATAAATAAAAGATTTAAGTAGAAAAGTTTGAAACTTGGATATAATCACCAAACATTTAAGTGGGGGATGTTGAAATGTAAACAAATGAGTATGTAAAATTGAATGTAAGGTGCTGTTCTCTCTGAATTGTGTTTGTGTGTGTGTGTGTCTCACTCTCTCTATAATATATATATATATATATATATATATACACACACACACACACATTATTTAGACTGTTCTTGTCATCATTATTGTCATATTCACAATGTTTTAGCTGTTGTATGCTCTAAGCTTCTTCAGGTGATATCTGTTGTAATTTCAAACCAGACCTTTTATTTAGTTCATAGAAGTTGATTGTTCTAATTCCATGTGCCATGCCTTTAGATATCTCAGTTTTAGTTAATTTATCTTGATAACTCACCAGGTTTTGTTCTCTCTGCTGATGCCAGGGATTGAACTTGCAACTCTTTGGGTCAAATCACTTTTAGGATCATTCAGTCAACAATTTTATCGACTGGGGGAATAAACCCCTGTGGACTAAATAAAGTGTTCAGTTTGAAATTCCAGCAAATATCTCCTGAAGAAGGCTGGAGCATACAATGACCGAAACATTGTGAATATGGCAAAAAGATGAGGACAATGTAAATAGTGTTTATATTTATTTTGTTTTCTCTATTGACTATTTTCTTTATTTATTGGGTAAGTGCTCAATATCAAAGATGTGTTTATAGATATGCATTGTATAGCTATATAAATCAACATTGTGACAGTTTCATGCCTCAATGAGGTGTAAAACTCACCATCAGCATACAGCAAGTATGTCAAACTCGGCATATGCAGGGCCACATCGGCCATATCTACAGCTTTGAGGGCTGCACCTGCTTACAGTCTTACATTAATCACAGCTAGTGGTAACTAAACTTTAAATACAAAATATAATACAAGGTAGTACAATTTAATCATTTTTATGTTGTCCTGATTGATATCATTTTAGACAAACTATTCTCAATATATCAGGTTGGAATGTCTGTGTAGATCCCATTTTGATCAAAGATGACAAATGTTCATCAGTTAATCTGGTTCTGTGAGACGTTTTTGTAGTCTTCATAAATGAAAATAACTGATCACAGGCATATGTGAAACCAAATATTGCCATAATCTTTGTGGCAAACTTTCTGAAGTTCTTAAATGTCTGAGGAAGGTATGAAAAAAATCCGGGTACCTCTGCATCTAGTTACTTTCCCTTGAGTGTTGAGTTAGTCTGCATTTCTAGTAGTTCCATCTGTAGACTTTCCTCTGCCTGAGCAACATCAAAAGTGAATGGTGCTGAGAATACAAATTGATCTTCACAAGATGAAAAATCACAAAATCTTTGCTGAAATTCCTTTGATTGCAATTCCAGGAAATTGTTGTACTTAGCAAAAATAAATACAAACTCAGTATTGGCAGGTTTTTTCAACTCCTTGCACATAGTAAAATGAATCAAGTTTTCATGTGACAACTGGGACTTCAATAAAGTTAATTTTGTAATGAAACACTTGATATCATCATATAACTGAGTGATGAGCTTATTTTTACCTTGTAATTTCAAATTAAGATCATTTAATTGGGCAGTAATATCCATGGAAAAAGCTAGATCTTGGAGCCAGCTTTCATTTTTCAATTCATCTGTACTTTGACCCTTCATCTCCAAAAACACAGCAATTTCATGTCACAATAAAAAAATCTTTTCAGTACCTTTTGACATGAAAGCCACCAAACTTGTGTGTAGTATGGGACATTTGTGAACTGATTATTCACATCTTCTAATAACTGGCTAAACTGATGGTGATGCAAAGTACGACCTCTGATATTTGTGACAAAACATGATCTAATTTTAAAATCTTAGAACATAAGTTCTGTTAATGAATTATATAATGAAAATGCTTTAATGATGAATCTAGATATGTTTTATATTTTTGTATCTAACTTGGCAGCACCATCAGTAGATAAACACACAAGTTTACTTAAATCAAGGCCATACTCATGGAGAAGCTGTTCAACTTTCTCAAAAATGTCCTGGCTTGTTGTAGTATCATGCATTGGGACCACTTCAATTAGTTCTTCATAAATTTGAAATTCATTGTCAGAAGCCCTTGATGAAAATGGTGAGCTTTGCTATTCCGTCTATGTCAACAGTCTCATCCAGAGCAATAGAAAAATGTTCAAAACTTGATGATAAAGTTTTCAACTGTTGACTCAAATCACCTACCATTTCATCAATCCGTTCAGCAACAGTGTCCCTGCTTAATGAAATGTCTTGAAATAAGTGTGACTTCTTTGGACATAACAATTTTAACTGTTTTTACAAGACATCACAGAATTCAAAGCTTGCAGTAACAGAACTAATGCTGCCTTTCTGAATTTTTGTAAAGCAACACTGTTGCTGTGTTAACTTAACCTTGAATTCCTTCACTTTTGAAACACGCATATCTCCTTCATATTTATCATAAGATTGATGGTTTGTTTCATAATGTCTTTTCACATTATATTCTTTTGACATCGCAATGCAATGGTTGCAAATCAAACAGTTTATCTTTCCATTAACAGTGGCACAAAAGTACTGTAATTTCCACTTTTCTTGAAACACGTCCTTCTTCAGATAATTTTCTCTTTTGACGAGATGGAGTAGGATTCAACATTTTTAAGGCAGAATATTACAAAATTACAAACGTTTTCACTTTACATTTGTTATTTAGTTGTCAAGTAAGATCACATGATTAACCGGAAGTTAAAAATAGTCACTGACATTTGAAATAAAAAAAACCATTGTGATAGAATAAACAATCTGATCATACCAATTGAAAAAAATCTCACTGTTTTTAATAATTTGTGTTACCAAGATAGACAAAATTCTTGATGTACCACGGCTATAGAAACCTTTGTGAAGGCTGCCAAAGATGCATGTAAAGGGCCGCCAGTTTGACACACCTGCCATACAGTATTGATTTCTATATCCAAACTGTCTCTCAATATATATATATATATATATATATATATATATATATATATATATATATATATATGATGAATGAATATTGAATACCCTGAAATTTGTTGGTTTGCTGTACTGTTATCTGCATGAGTTCTGGTGAATAGTGTTTTATTTGTTTATTAAAAGTTTAATGATACCAAAGAAGCTTTGTACTTAGAAAAAAAAAATCTAAATCATTTTGTTATGTAAAATTAGTCATCTGCAATGGCATATTAGCCATATGGTTGTACTAAAACATTATTGTATTACATTACTTCAATAGAATTAGTGTTGACTGATGACCAGATTCTGAAAATAGTTTGGGACTTTTTAACATTAGAATACATGACAAAAATTAACAGATAATTAAGCTTGAATTTTTTTTTTCTCTTATCCACTTAAACGGTAAGTTATCACAGGGAGTCTTTTTACTTGGGCAATTTATTTAATTACTTCTTGCTTGCTAGGCCTCTGGAAGTTTCAACAAAAACCCATCTACATTTCAGGAACTGATATATATTGGCTGCAGGAGATTCTAGAAAAGTTGATAAAAGGAGGCCACTTCTGGTTTCATTTCTGAGTTGTCTTTCTCCTCATCTGGTTGCTAACCAAGGCTAAAGAGCCTAGTCTATCCAGCTATTAACCTATAGGTAACAGGAGAAGAGATGAATTCATGTCTTCTCAATGTCTTAGGAATTGGAACTTTACTCTCTGATTCCATTTACTGTATTGTTAACTGCTAGGCCATATGCACCTCTTTTATATTCTGTCAATCAAAGCAAGTTTTTGTTTTTCATAGTTTCTATAATTGCTAAGACTTTTCTCATATTGCTAAAGCTGTGAAGCCAGGAAGTGGTTCTATAAAATATTTTCAACTTAATTCAGTTGATATTATTTTATATAATAGGAGTAGATTGGTTTGCCTATTGCTCAGTTCATACTCCTTCCCACTTACAGCCACATCATTTTGAAACACCAGTTCCTGTACAATCACCAAAGTTAAGCAATGTTGAACTTGGTCAGTACCTAGATAGGTGACTGCTTCGGAATAGCAGGTGCTATAAGCTTGGATGTGTGGTTGGTGTAATGGATAACAGCTCGGAATTGGAAATCAAAGAGCTGTGTTCCAATTCCTGTTGGGTTCATTATATTCACTTACATGCAAATACACTTGGGAAAGGCATCAGTCCACCTCTTCTCTCTCAGCTATGGGTTAATTGGTAAAACTTGTACTACTAAAACCATTATTATCTCCAAAAAACAAAAAATTGCATACAAAATATTTAGATTTCAGCATTAAACAACCTATAGAGGTTGATATGCTACTAAACAAAAACAACCACCCAACCACACTCCTTTCTGGTTTCTTGAACAGAAATAGAGGTTTACCCCTTCTCCTAAATTCTCATTCTCTTTTACTCCTAGTAGTCCCTTACTTCTTAGTGGCATTATTGCCTTGCTTGGGGTGAAATGATTAAAAAAAAAAAAAATCTCTTCTATGACACTATAAAAAACAAAACAAAAGCATAATTTCTAAAAGTTATAATTTTTACTTTTTTTTTATTTACGAATTAACCTTTAGATATTGTCTTGCTAACTTATTGTTACTAGTGTATTACTGTGACTGAGAGTTTTGGTGGTTTTTACATGTATGACTTTCTTTGATCTAACTTAAATCTGCTAAAAAATTAACCATAATGTTCCCCATATTAACCCATCCACAAAAAGAAATAAACCTTCATAATGCATGATGCAAATTATTGTCTATTTTTTTTAACATTTCTAATTATTTTTTTAATAGGACAATGCCTTATGTAAACTTTAAACTCTAGAAATTTCATTTTGTGCTGGTTATTTTACAGGAAAAAGAATCCTAATTTGTATGAGATTTTAATTTATATTTTTTTATAAGTATATTTTAAACTGTATTTTTATGTTTGTTTTCAATTTCTTATTAACTAGTGATGGTGGCTATCCTTGCACACCACCCCCATCTCCTATGGGATCTTTTGAGGAAATTTCCAATGATGAACCTCTTGTGCATATTCATATAGTGTTAGTGGATAGTAAATGTCCACAATTCCAGACAGTTTATAAAAAAGTAAGTGTATAATTTGCTTTTTGCCATTGATCTTATATAAATTTTCTGAAGTGTAATTAAATTTTCATTCTTTCAGAAATTCTTTTGATATTTTTACAGGCTGTTTTTATTTTTTTTCCTTGACACCACTACCTTCACTCTTCAGCAGTGTTTTTGTTTTAAAAAGCAGTGATGAGAATTGTAATAAAACTTAAGCATATGATAAAAATGAATTTATACATTTTTTTGTTCTTGAGAATTTACAACAGTTATTAATCACTACTATTAGATTGTTTATTTACAAGAATAATTTTATATTTGTGTCATTTTAAAAACTAATAAAATTAAAACTAATGCAATGTAATATTTATCATTTACCAATTTATAAAGAAATAAATATGAAAAAAATTTTTTATTCATAAATTTATAAAGATTTACTATTATTAAAATATGTGAAACAATTATAAGGAAATCTTTATTATTTACCATTTTATAAAGTTCAAATTGATTGCTATTTAGCTAATGTTTTGCAAACTATTCCAATAAGCAATATTGTAATGGATTGATAAATAGGATTGTACCTATTTGCATATGTTGAGTAGAAGAGATATAAAGTGTATAATAAACTAAGAGACAGGCCAGAAGTTGACTGCTGATCATGTGTCATAGAACAACATAACAAATATAATAGTGTAAATAAACTATCTAATAAATAAATAGTGTTTATTGTAAATTCTAAAGTACAAAGAAAATGTATAAATTCACTTTCATATGCTTAGGTTGTATTAAAATTCTAATCATCTTCTTTTTTTTTTCTTTTTTTTTTTTAAAAAAAGAAAAAAACAAAACATATTTCTTGAGAAGTGAAGATAGTTAAAATAATAGCAATGTCAAAGGAAAAAAACGTTCTTTTGACACCGTTTTTTTGCAGGTACAAAGCTCCAACATTGCCGTTTTCCCTTTTTATGGCAAGATCATTTTTCTTTAAACAGACTTAAATTTTTGCATAATGTACCAAAGGTTACAATTTAATACCAATTATTTAAAGATATAATTTAATTACTAGTAAGATTTATTGCTAATTTCTATCTGAATTTCTGAGATGAGGAATCTATCTTCTATAATGTAGTGCTATACTTTAAGTAAAATGTTGGTAATACCTTTCAAGTGCATGTAATTGATGCAAATTTATTAATTACAATATATGCAGTTGTTAAAATTATAAAAAGTGGATAACAAACAAGTAAACAACATTAGGGTTTTAATTAAGTACAAAGCCCTATTAATTTATTTTATTTAATTAAATATTGGCTTAAGACCTTAATTTGGCCTAATCTATCTTCATATACAAGATATGCATCACCATGGACTTTCTAAAAAATAACCTGATAGACACATTTTAAATAAATTAAATGCCTTCTTTGAACTTAAATTTTGGTTATTTTTGAAAGATAATGGTCTAAATCTAATCCAAACTAAAAGAATTTCCATATATAAATAAATTTTTAAAATGTTGGCATTTTTTTTTGTAACTCATTGACTAAAAACACCAAATTTAAAATTCTCTTTAAAAAAAAATTCAATATTTGTCCTAGAGATGTTCCAAAGTTTGTTAGTAAATTTAAAGATTAATTAACTGAATTTTCTAAAAAGTAATGCTTACCTTTTACTTTTAAGACGATGAAAATAACATTTTATTTACACACGATAGTTACTACAACTACTGTCTTTTAGGTACCGCCACTAATTTGCTGAAAAAAGAGCATACCATGATGAAAAAAGGCCACAAACTTAATTAAAAACAAAATTTTATCATCAAAATGTTTGTTATTATTAAGAGGAAAGACCAAAGTATTTTTTTAATTATTTTTAAAAATTTTTTTACACCTTTCTAACATGTTTAAAATTTTGGTTAAAAATCTTTTTTATGTGTCAATGGTGTAACAGCTCTCTATGGAAATTTTAGAGCCTTTTTTCCAGTAAAATAACACATTAATTTGGAAATTCTTGCAAAAATCAAATAGCTGTTGGATTTTAATTAAATTTTCAGGACTTATTCAGAAATGAATGATTTTATTTTTGAAATTATTATTTTTGGAAAATCTTGGTAAAAACATTTTTTTGTACATCTATTTAGCCTCCACCCCCCAGCTCCTGTGCTTAATTTGATGAAATTTCTAGAAATTAAATTCTGTCTTCCAAATTTATTTTGTTAGTTAAATGCAGAATTCCTTAGAGAATGTAAAGGATCATTTTTTTTTTTTTTTTTTTCAAACTACTAATCTTTCACTGAAAATATGCTCCAAATCATAAAATAAAAATGCAATAAAACTTTCTAATTATCTAATTAGATAAACTTTTAGTTGCTTTTATACATTAAGGACATTATAGCCTGAAGAAAAAAAAAATTGATGAATAATGAAATTTTACAAGAATTGTTTTCATTTTAAAAAATTTTTTTTTTTAAATAATTTATAAAGTTTCAAAAATCTTTTAAAAATTCTTCCAAACTCCATCCTCATTAGGTCATTAAGTGAAGAAGATATTTACTAAGCAAAACTTAAAAAGCTTAATACAAATCATCACACTCTAATATTTTTAAAATGTTTTAATTATGTTTTAACAGATAAAGTCTCTATAGAACAACAATAAACATGTCAACACCTCATAAATCACTTGACAAACACTTAATCACCACTACTGTTTGTTTTAAAAATACTTTTCTCTGTTATTTTCAATTTAAAGTAAATAATTTTTTTCAAATCAGATTAATTGTGCTTTAAACCAGCTATTATTTATCAAATAAAGTTTCAGAAAAGTATGTTTATTTTTGGGAGGTTATTTTATTTTATTTTTTATAGTAAAAAGCAAAATTCATTGCAATGAAAGGTGACTAAAAAAAAGGGGGCACTAATCAGTTATTTTTAGCTGAAAAAAATAAATCTACACTAATCAATAGAATTTCTGTTTATAATACACTCATATTTGCTTACTGGAGATAGTAAATTTAATCCTTTAGCTTTCAATTAAAGCTAAAATGAAAGCTTCAAGAAAGATTTTTCATTTATGAAAATTCATTTTAAACCTTAGGTATACGGAATTAGTGGAGGTACCTAGTGTAAATAAAGGATAGTAAAGAGAGCAAATTTCTAAAGTCAGAAGTTATAGATTACGAAATTACTGATTATTTAGTCTTATTTCTAATAAAATATAGCTAAGTAAGTTGTGTTCAGTTAAAACGGGTAGATCAAGTCTCTTCATGAGCACTAATCCAGGAAAGTTAACTGAGAATGAATGAAATAAGGTCATTGTGTTCAGAAACCAGTAGTTTGAAGTATAAAGCCTTTATTATTTCTACATTTCCAATTATTTTGAAAATCTTTTATCATGTAAAACATGCATGATATTAATGTTAATAGTATGAAGCTAAGAAGTCATTGCCTAAGGTGTTCCCAAAAGGGGAATTACCAAGGTTTACTGAGGGGTGAAACCAAAATTTTAAAAATGAGACTTCTAATGAAACATTTACCCTTGAAATAAATGAAATTTTCACCTTTTTACAAAGAAATTGCAAGTTAAATAGTTTTATCGGAATTCATAAAATTTTCTTGGTGGCAAGGAGAACAAATAGTGCATGAAAAAAAACAGATTTGTTATTAAAAATTTTTGAATTGGTGAAATAAGTATTGGTTCTCCTTGTATAGAAGAATAAAAGGCACACAAAAAAAGTAAATGTATGGATCTAAAATTAGTACTTTCAAGATTGAACAGACTCTTTTGATATTGAATAGTAGCTATTATTATCTAAAAGGAAATAATTCATTTATAAAATGTTCACATTTGAAAATGTTTTGAACTTTCAAACATGCCTTTATTTCACAAGTTTCTTTTATGAAATAGTAGGCATCCTTTTATCTTGAGAGATAAAACATTTGGTCAAAATTCAGTCCTTTGGTGGTGAAACAGACCTGGGCAATGATATATATAGGATGTATACTGCCCAGACAATGTGATCCACCTCTTGATGGTGTAGATTTTTTTCTATCAGATCTGAAAGAAAATAATGTGTTTTATTATGCAACTACCAAAACTTTATTGAAATATTATTTTCAGATATTTTTAAAATATTGGATGCCCCCCCATACCAAATTAAAAACTAACATATTGAAAAAGTGGGAAAAACATATCCCCAAAAATATTTCCCCAAAGTTGTTTAATGAAATAATGTATTCAATAAAAGATTGATTCAATATTGAATAAGTACTGAAATTTTTGTTTAATCAGATAATTCCCAGATATTTAGCAAATATTTTATTTATATCCAATTTGGACTACCTGTAAGACTCTTTCTGCCAGGTAATACAGATTGTGTTGATCGAGTACAAACTGTCATTATTTTTTCATAATTCTCTGTATCTTCATGGCTACACTATACTCAGATATATCCAATTTTTTGTGAGGTGTCAAAGTTTCAGGCTATGCAATTATCTCTCTTAGGTGTGATGAGTTTTTGTTTTTCAAACAAATCAGAGGAAATTTCTGAAGAGATTATAGATTATTAAATCTCTGATTAGTTATTATTACTATTAATAATACAGGTAAGCTAGCTGTGTCCAGTTAAACTACATTTGTCAAGTTTCTTCAAAAGTTTTAATCGGGAAACCTTTACAGAGAAATGACGAAATGAGAAGCACTTATACAAAGGTGAAGGTCATTGTGTTTATTAGCCCGTATAAAGCTTATATTATTTCAGTAGTTCTAATTATTTACACAATATTAAGTCTAGATTTTGTGTAATATACATAACAAATAGAATAATAAGTAGAAGGAGCCTTTTTGATATATAAAACTAAATTAATAATTAAGATTGTTGCACAGAAGTTTTAGTTAAAAAAATGGGCATCACAAAATCTTATGTTGATTTCTGGTCATTATTTTTGAATAAATCTTTTGCCTTTTACTAAAGATTTCCATGGCCAGGAATAAATCAATGCGTCTATAGACTTATTTTTGAAACTCTCCTTAATTCTGTGCTGAAAACAAAATTGAAAAACAGACTGACCACTCTTCCTCACTTTTAATTTCTGCTTTCATGCCATACACACAAATTAAATTCCTTCTGTCTGTCTCTTTTGTGTGTCAGCCAACATCATTCTGAACCAAATATCATTGACTGGCATCGCAATTCCATGCCAGGTGAGGGAAAACCAACTTGGTCAGGAAATTGGCACCAGGGGCCTGAGTTGTTTCCTTGTTCAACAACAAAACATAAATCACAATTCTGAGTGTGCTAACTGTTCATTTTGTAATCATTGAAACCAGTAATTGTTTCCCTAGGCAAGACTGCTTACTTGTGAATGATTTCAACTTTAAGTGTGTGATAGATCCATAAGCAAGTCAAAAATTTGGGTATTAATTCTGTTTTCCTTCCAACACAACTATGACCTGACCCCTGGTCATAATCAGTAGCCTGTGCTAGTCACCAAATACAACACAGACGACAAGGTTTCAGATATCATACCAGGGTGTGGGGGTACATTTCAGTGAAGGTGACTTACAATCAATTTCGCTCCTTCATTTCCTTCACCAGAATTTGTATCATCTAGTAAATTTTGTTTTGTACCTTTTGAGAAAATAACAGGCCGTGGCCTTGTTGATTTGGGTGAGCTTTTGATTGTACTGTTTCTTCAGCATTGAGCGATCTGTTTAAAAAAGGTGAACATGTGCCAACAGAAATGATGCTGTTGAAAAATTACCAACAATTTAATAAAAATGGGAAATGTAAAAATTGTGCAACAGTTATGATCCTGTTTCATCTTAATCACTCCTTTTCTACTCTCAAGGCATCTGTTTAAGTAATGCTAGTGGTGTTAACATCTAATGCCCGATTTTAAGGGTGGGTGCTTTTGATTTCCTCCACAAGTGTTCAACTTCTCTGGATAACTCATTTCTGTGCATATGTACTCCATTTATATAGACTTCAATCAGCAAATAGTTACAAATTAGCTTCTCGGACAAATAACCTCTTGTTATACAACTCGGATGGCCATCTATAAAGTGCTTTACAATGTCGGCATGGATTTTTTTAGTTTCCATAAATAGTTTAACATAAATTATGCCAGACAGGTTGTTAAAAAAACAAAGCCTAAATTTAACAAAAATTCTGTGGACTTTTTGCAGACTCATTAGTCATGTTAACTTCCTTGGGGTTATGGAGTTGGGCCGGTGGTGTAATTTATGCTAAATCTTACTTAATTTAATTTGAGTTCTTCTGATGCCCTCCTTATAAGTATTTTATGAGTTTAAATTATTATTTTTAAACCAGACTTTTCTTCATCAGACTCCAATCTGATTAACTACTTGCCCATATTTTTCTAAATTCTCTATTCCTTTGCTCAGAATGCACTAGTATGACTCAACTAGGGCCACCGCATTGTTATCCAACTATCTTCAAAAGTTTAACTGGACACTATTGCTTACTTGTTTTATTAGTAGTAATAAGTAATCAGTGATTTAGTAATCTATAATCTCTTTATGAATTCCTCAGATTTGTTTGAGAAATTCATCTCACCTAAGGAAGATAACTGCATGCTGTAACATTAATTCATGCTTTCTCAACATGCTATATCATAGTGAAAATTGGATTACGTCTGGGTATAATGCAGCCTGTGAAGATACAGAGAATTACAAAATAACCCTGGATCCAGATAATTTGTATCGCAAAAAAGCATAAAATTGACAAATGGTCTATTTCTGTTAGATACATCAAAAGTTTAGGGGTCTGCTCTGTTTGCAATAGAAATTCATAGTAAATTGATGAGGAATTATCATTATTTTACATTGATTTATTAAAATTATCCTCATTTTGCTTGTTCTAGTCACAACATTATCATACACTCTCTTGTTTCCTTTAAATAATTGTTTTATTCATTTAGATTCAAGGAATTTCAAAATGAACACTTTATTCAATTCATTGGATAAATAGTTCTCTTCAAAATCATGAATATGCTCAACTTGGATAATCTCTTTAGTTTACTTAGTGATAAAATAACAAGAATTAACTAATACAATATATGCAACATTTAAGTTAATTTATTTGCTCTAATGTTCAAATATCTTGATTCAAAATGTTGTTACAGATTACGTCATTTTAGCCAAGTGCCCTTTGGCTATCTGTTATTTTGGCTGATATGGGATATTGTTATTTTATTCTCGTAATGCTGTTCTGCAAAAAGTTACTTCAGACTGATATTTATGTAAATGACTTAGCTATCACTGCAGACACCATTACCAATGTTACAGCTCTCCTACATAATCTAGAAAATGCTGCTAATGATGTTGGACTCTGTCAGTGTCTCTAAAACTGAATTCATAAGCTTCAACCAGCAAGGCCTAATACAAACAGTCTTGTGTGAATCAATAAATTAAATTCTCCTGAAAAAGATGTGAAAATTCACATAGCTAAAGCCTGGGTCACTTTGAATAAAATGTATGTAATCTGGAAATTGGATCTACCAGACAACTTCAAGTGGAGATTCTTTTGCATCACTGTGGAGGCATTTTTTAATGTATGCTGCTATTGTTTGGACATTAACTAAAACTCTTGAGACTAAGCTTGATGGTACCTACATTCAGATGCTGAGAACTATAGTTAACATTTCTTGGAGACAACATTCAACTAAATCACAGCTCTATGGACCCATTCCTGATATTTCTATAATCTTACATGAATGCAGAATATACTTTGCAGGTTACTTGCTGGTGAGTAAAACAAGAACTTGCACATGATCTATTGCTCTGGACACCTAGCCTAGGTTGGTCGCCTAGCAACCACTTACATTGACCAACTATGTAATGACCAACTATGTAATGACTACCTTAATGACCTTTCGACTTTGATGCAAGACTGTGATGGTTGGCATGATAGACTTATGAAAGTTTGAGTGAGCTTGACCGAATAATAAAATACTGTTTCTTGTTCATTTCTACTGAAGCAGAATATATTATTTCATTACTTGATCCTTTATTAGCCACAATAATGAATTCCTGAAGATGGCCAGATGGTACTTGACTGAAATATTGTATCTATCATAAAATCTATAATAAGGATAAGAACAATAGTTTGAATAAAACATATAAGCCAAAGTATATTGACAATTCTTCATTTCTCTAAAATTGAAAAACAAAATTAGCAAACAAGCAGTACGAACCAACCATGATGACCAAAAAGCTTGAAACCATCTTATATTGAATTTAAAGACTTTGAAAATGTCACTAATGGGAGAGTAGCAAAGTGGATATACAAGTTGATTAATCATGTGTGGCTGTTATCTAGTGATCATGAGTTCAGTATCTGTATGAGTAGTGAAACAATATATTCTGCTTTAGTAGGAATGGACAAGAAATGGCTTACAAAGACAAAATAATATCATAATCAATAGCTAAAATATTCAGGTTGTCCACAATAATGGACAATTGAAGATAGCCAAAGGGTGCTTGGTCGAAACATTATCAGTAACAATATCTTTAAGAATGAAGTTGACAATAGTTTGAATGAATTGATTAAAATATATTAATAGTTCCTCATCTCTAAAATCAAAAAATAAATTATCTAAATTAAGCAATAAAGAAATGTTTATTTTATCATGAGTGCAGTCCTTGCTTCAAAAGCGAACAATTTTTTTTTTTTGTAAATTTAAAAGTGATATCATAATGTAGACAGTCTTTGTACTTTTAAAATCTGAGAGAATTGTGTACTTGCAACCTAACTAATTATAAATATTTCAGATGTTGATATCAGTTTTAACACTTTGCAACATATATTTTTTCTTTTCTTCCTATTTGTGTTGTTTTGGTTACCTACAATAACCCTATTCTTGTGACTTGTTTGGATCAGCATTTTTTTTAAATGTTTAGATTTAAATCAACATCAAAGCACAATGGAGAGAAGACATGTTCCTGTGAAGTGTGTGGATTTTCTTTTTTTCAAGAGGTCTATTTTAAAAAACATATGCAAGAACTCTCTTGAGAATATTAGTGTTGTAATGTTTGTGATGATGCATTTACATTAAAGTCAAAACATATGAAAACAGAAGAATCATTTTCTTGCAAAGTATGTGAATTTTTCTTTTCACATGAAGCCAGTATAGTCAGACATAATCTTGCATTGTTAAAAGAACATTGTCATGAAATGTTAAACATGTTTGCCACAAATTTAAAAATTATATAGGTGATGACTCAAAAGATACAATGTTCTTTTCAAGTATGTAAATATTTCTTTGTACATAACTCTTTGACATATGCCCTTTGAAGAGAAACCATAATTAGCCTGGAAATTATGAGTTTGCATTTACCTTGTGTGCCATCTGAGGCATATCATATGTTGAATATAGTCTGCCTAGTTAATGCATATGAAGTTTAGGCAAAGAGTTAAATAATTACTCTTTGCTCTATTATTTTAAACATTTTCAATTGATAGTAGTAGATAGGTCTACCTATCGCCCAGTTCACACTCCTCCGCGGTCTTTTGAACAGGAGTAGAGGTTTATCACTTGTTTCCTTTTTACGATTGGGTTTCCAGTTCCTTCTAAAGTATTTTTCTCTTTCATTCCCTGTAGCCCCTTGTGTCTTAGTGGCATTATCACCTTACTTATACTGAAATGATTAAAAAAAACAAAAAACAAATTATATAATGCTACTAATGTTGAATGTTAAAACTCAAGATTTAAAAACATTGGTGTTTTCTTTTATCTTGGTTGATTTTATCAGTATCCTCACTTGTTATTTCAGATCAACCGTTCTATTGATATTGAATTTAGCAGTCTTGATACCACAATCAACCTTCATACCTGGGTTGTATTGCTTGACTTCCTTGGCCTTGGAGCAAAATTCAAAGAGGTTGTTCAGTCACCTCGCTACCCATCTGCCAGTAACAACTCTTCCCTGGATACAGAAGGTAATCCCAACTGTTTCTTTGTGTTGAAAAATCAGTTTGTGAATTGATTGAATTATAGTATATGTGATAGTGCTGAAAAGTTCTCGGCTCCAACCAAGAAGCCTTTTACAACACACACAAAAATCTGTTTGCTTATTTGATAGAATCTGTGAACAGATTAAGCTCTGATAGTGTTTTTTTTTTTTTTTTTTTTTTTTTTTTTGAAGTGAGTTGGTTCAAAAACTTTAAAGCACAACTTGAGAGGGTGAATGTTAATATCTAAGACAAACAAAAACTGTTTTAACTTCAGTTGAGATGTGTGGGTGGTGAAATGGATAGCGGCTTTGAATGAGTTCAGATTTCAGTTTTGTTTGTAACATTCATTTAAGCACTAATACCCTTGGGGAAGGTATGAATCTATCACCCCCCCCCATGGGTTAAGTAATTGGCATTGTATCTGGTAAAAATAATTTATTTTTCTTAAAAATTGTTAATGTAATTTTCACTTGCAAAAAGAAAAAAATATTCTTACAATCCCCAAAAATGTTTTGACTTTAAATAACCCACAGAATTGATAAGCCACAAAATGAAAAAAATAAATCAAATGTTCAGTTGAGAAAATCTATTAACCTTATGAATGTTCCTGGGTAAATGTTCTAATGATTTATGGATGTTTTATAGGCAATTGTTTTATACTTAAAAATGTAAGCCAAAGTAGTGTTGTATGTGTTGAAAGTTCATTAGAATTGTCTGAATAATGGATGAGGATTAAAAGAACATCATACAAGGTGTATTCAGCTGTAACTTATTTAATACATTTTAGTTTGTCAATTTTTTTAATGAATTATAGTTTTACACTTTTAAATTTACTTGCCCAAACTATACATAACCTATGTAGAGAGCTTAAGTAAAAGCAAGGTTTAGGAGAGATAACAAAAGAACAAAATTTAGTAAGAGTTACAAAAAACAGGAAATTGTGGAGAGCCATAATCGCCTATGTCCTGAAGGGACACAGCACATCGAAGAAACCCAAACTACCAAAAACAGTTACAGATTATTCAGTTGATCCTAATTGTTTTTATAAAACGCTAGTCAATTAAGAATGATATCATTTTTATTTATTATTATATTTAATGCTATATCTCTTGTTGCAAGATTCATAATTAATTACATGCTCATATATTTCTAATTATCTTCTGCTAATGCATACATTAAAATCAGATTTCCCTGTCACTCAAGAAAATGAAGTGTAACATGAAACAGATGACTTGGTTTCTCAGATGTTAATTTTTGCATTCACTATTCAGTGTATCTTTCTATGGGTTATTTGTTATTATACAGACTTTCCTGCCAATGTGATTTTGATTTTTCTCTTTTACAGACAGTTCCATCCCATCTGAGCCAGTGATTAATTCAGAGATCCGAATGAATATTGAAAGTTTGACTTTAATCTTGAACAAACCTGAATATGAACTAGCTCGAGCTAATGTGTCTAAGTTCCAAGCAGATGTTTCTTTGCGAGATGGTAACACGCACCTATCTGGGCAACTTGGTAGTGTTTCCTTATTAGACCAATCTCCATATGGTTACCTTTTTAGAGAAAAATTCATTAGTGTTGGCGACCAAGCATTGACATTTGACATATTCAAGCAAGTAACATTTTGATTTTTTTACACATTTATCTCTCTCTCTCTCTCTCTCTCTATATATATATATATATATATATATATATATATATATATATATATATATATAAAAACCTACCTTTTTCTTCTTTCCTAATTTTACCATATATGCCTCTCTTTATCATACATCATTTTTTTTTTCATTTTTTCTTTGTCAGAAATGCTTCACTTCCTTCCTTTGCTAACAACTTATAATGTATTGTTTATTCTCCTGAGCTGGTCTAATTTATTGATGATTTTCATTTTTATTCATTTCCAGATTTTCTATCTTTTTATTTATATATATATATATATATATATATATATATATATATCCTCTCTCTGATAATATGTTTGAATAAATAAACAGACATTCCTGGTCAGAAAGTAGTTCCTTATGTAAAATTGATTAGCAGTGTTAATATTTCTATATTAAGTTACTAGAAGTGTTCTTTTCTCGCAAAAGGATATGTCAAGGATAATGACAAAACATTTCTGCACAAAGAAACAATGATGACAAAATCTGCAGTATATTCAGTTTTTATTTTATTTACATATTTTTTTTTATTTTTTTTACTCTTTTACTAATCCATTGTACTGTAGCAAAGAAAATGACTAAGATTAGCATACATTTATTGCAGGTATTTTTTTTTTTTTTTTAATGATGCTGACCCTGTACAAGGCCTGAGAGCCATTCGAGGTAGAGTGTCCCGGAGTAAGAGGCACAGTTTATACAGATATGTGGGGAAGATAACGGTTAACTCTAGACTTGAACAGATTAAGATTGTAGTGATCACAGAAGCATTCTCTTGGAAGTTGGTTTCAAAAAGCAGTTGTTCGTGGGAAGAAGCTTCTCAAGTGGAACTTACATCTCACCAATGAAATATGAAGGGAATGAGGGTGGTTTGCTACCATGTATATAGCATGATGTATCTTAGCTGTGAAAGTTATAACTGGTGGAACTAAGGAATGTAGTTCGTCTGAGCAATTTCCATGGAAAGAGCAATTGAGTAGCAAGAGGCTTGCAATGTTTCAGGTACTAGAAATAGGTGGAAAGGCCTAACTGAAGTGTCTTTATGCCTCTTATGCAAATGACTTCAGTACATATAAACTCAAACAGTGTCTGTCAGGCAGTAGGCTTTTGTGCTCCTTTAGACTGACAAGCTTGTTCATAAAAATAATTGCCAAGTGTTGAGTTATATTGAATTGGGTTGTATTCGACAGTAGTTTGATTTACAGCAGTCATTGGTTTGAATTACAAAGGCCATAGTTTGCATTTGCAGGCCATTTTGATGCAGTCTTACATGTATCCAATAAATAATGTTGGATTATGTTAGTGAAGTTTGAACTCCTATCAGTTTTTTTAATTTATTTTTTATATTATAATTTAGTCTGATTTAACATTGCATAACTTTTAAAATTCATTAGTATGGAAAACCATTTGTTATTTAAAATTATCATCATTAGAAACTAAAATGTAAACGAAAAAAAAAAACAAAAAAACTTATACAGCATACTTTGAGTTCCTGTACATACTAAATAGTCACATAATGGATTTTTATTTTATTTTTTTTTTTCTCAATAATGTTCAAAATCAGACACAACAAAACGTTGGTACAGAATATCTGCAAAAAAGAACATTCTCCTCAAAACTATAACAAAGTATTATTCTTGAATATTTATGCAAAGAATTTGAGGCCACATTCAAAATCATTGAAGAAATGAGTTTTGTACAATATTTAGAGAATTTATTTTTGTATATTAAATTCAGTGTTGGTTTCTAGTTACTATTTACATGACTCTTAAATGCCAAAAAAAACTAACATTTTTATTGTTGTTAATAAGCTTAAGAAGAGTCATTATCATACCATTTTTTTTTTCAGGCAATCAGATCCCCTTGTGTTATCAATATTATCCATACAAATTTCATCCATTCCTTTCTGTGGTTTATTTTCAGGGGAATGTTTAACAGTAAAATGAAATTTTATTTTAAAAATATCCTGGTATTGTTACATGGATATTTTTAAGCCTGAAATGTTTTATTTCTTCAGCAATTCATTCAGCTTGTCACCATCTTTCACAAAGTGGTATTGCTTAAATCATACAATCATAGATCAATTAAGAACCACATGGTATTCAATTCCTTAGATGGCTGCAGAAAATAATATTGGCTGCTTCCTCCTTCAGTTTACTCATACCCCAATGATCCTCCCTGTCAATATTTTCATTACTTGTTTCATTCAAAAATGATATTAATTTTGAAATTTACACCTTGTTTTAATTCTAATCTTTACACACTACTGTGACTAATACCTACTTTTCAAGGATGCTATCTTACTTTCTGGAGAATCCATATTGTACCATTTCTGTCTGCACATACCAACACAAAAAAAAAGAAAAAAATGTATATTTGTCCAGATGTTAAAGGATCAAGTGATTCTGTGTGTGTGTGTGTGTGGCAACCTGTCTGCAACCAAAGTGTTATGCTTCAGCTGCTGATGGCAGTGCAGCATCTGTTATGACTGTACAGACCCATGTGGGAGTGACAGTCTCAATTGCAATGAATGTATGTGAAGACACTCTCCCCCAATGTCACCTTTTCTTTCCATCAAGCACATTTCTCTCTGGCGGCAAGGCTTTGTTTCTCAGTGTAAATTGCATTTCCAGCATGAGTGATCTTTGGCAATGTCTTCTAATCTCTCAATGTCCATGTCCATCACCCTCATGTCCATTTTGCAGACGTCCTTCAAGCGAAGATAAGGTCGCCATCTTAGGGCAATCTTGCTGGTGGCCAGTTCCATGTACAGTAGGACTTTTGGAATCCTCCCATCTGGCATACAGTGTACATGTCCAAGCCATCAGAGCCGTTTGGAGAAAGGTGTATGGGCTGGACATAGGTGAGAACCATGGCATTGATGACCCCTGTCGGGAAAATTGATGCCCAGAATGCATCTCAGACAGCAAAAATGAAAGGTGTTAAGGTATATCTCCTGTCTGGAGTAGAGGCTCCAAGTCTTGTTGCTGTAGAGCAGCATGCTGACGGCACATGCCCTATCGACTGCAATTTTGGTGTTTGTAGTAACATCAAAAAGCCAAATTTACAGCTTTTTAAGTCAATTTTTGTCTGAATAAAATCACATTTTATTTCGCAATTTGAACCTAATAATTTAAGAATTGGCTAAATCATTTTTCACTTAAAAATTTCTTGTTTTTAAATTCCCTGTAAATTAATATCAAAAACTTATGGTCAAATCAGTTTTTAAATTTTTGTGTGTTTTAGGTATGGAATTGAAGATCCTGGTATGCAAAGATCTTATGATCTCAGAGTTACTTTGCATATGTCAACAGTGCAATATACTTACACAGACAGATTTCAAAGTGAAATGTCAGCATTCTGTATGCATTTCCTGCAACTGCATGATACACTTGGTAGATTCAGAGCTGCTTCTATTGGTAAAAAGGTTTGTTATGTTTATTTCCTATTATATTTTTGTCTTTCTCTGTCTTCAGATTTCTGAATTGTATTTGTTTATATGAAGACACTGTTGAATAAAAAAAATTTCCAGAAGTTTTCAAATTGTTGTGGAAGGTCTGTTGACAAATTCAGTTTTTTCTTTTTGCAAATTATCCTGATTTTTAAAACATTAAAAGCTAGCTGAAAAATCCATTGAGATTTATTAAACTTTGTTATCTGAAGCTGATGAGTAATGTAACTGCAACACTTAAAGTCAAAAGATAATTCTTTTGAACTTATATTTGTTCTATTTTTTTTAATATTGACCACTTTGTTTACAAAAATCTGTCTGCTTTTAATGTGTAAAACTCCAGTGATTTACTGGCTGACATGTTTTGTTAGGCATTGGCAGTCTGTTTTATTATCCACTTTTTCTTCAAATATCAAAAAATTAATTGAAACATTAAGAGCAAATAGGTATTTAAAAAAAATGTGGTAGATTAACAATTAATTTCTGGCTGGTCATCATTTAGGAATACTAATTTTCAATGTTTTTTTTTTTTTTTTTTTTTTAAATCCAGGGAGGATGCAAATAAAAAATCTGTTATATTTATAAGAATTGTCATTTATATTTTAATCAGATAACACCCACTATGATGCGATCTGCTCGTATCCAGATGAACATTGAAGCTGATAGCCCAGTCATCATGTTTCCACACAGCTACAAAACAACTGATCTTCTTGTGGCTGAGCTTGGCCAGCTAAAGGTAACCAACCGATTCTTGTTTGATGGCAGTGGAGGAACAATCAAAGCCCAGCAGAAAAAAACAATTGATATAACCGGTGAAGTTCCTGGTTACAGTGATCATTTTGAAAGGCAGACAAGTGGCTCTGATTATATCCCTATGACACAGAGTCTATTTGAACAATCATGTCCATCACACTCTGCACCAGCTTCTGTTGATGTTGAGGTTGATCTCATGAACCAAAGTATTTATGGCAGTCTTGACCATGACATTCGGGAAGGGGAACTTGTTGCACCAAACATGACAGAGTCTAAGTCCTCAGAAATCTTTGACCCTACTGAGAATATATCTGCCGATTCAAGTATTTTGCTTACGCCACTTGAATCTGTTTCACCTGGCAACTTCTCTGTGTTGGATAATCGTTTTCAGCCAGACTGCAGCCGAGACACTCTGTCACCCACCATGGGCACAAAACTCTGCAAAAAGTTGAGTGCACCATTGTTGGCACAGGAAAAAAAGATGTTGAATCCATTCCAGCTGTCTGTGCAGCAAAGCATGGCGTTTTCCAGGCATGATCCTTCCACACACATTTGCCTGCTGGACGTGATGTCTGTTACACTTACTGACATGGACTTCTACTCAGCTGAGCTCCGCAAAACCAGCAGTGGACCTGATGGACCGATTTATAACCTGGAGAGAGAGGTAATTGCATTTTGTTTTATTTTATTTCATTATGACGAACATTAAAAGTGGATGCTGAAAAGATCTTGACATGATCAAGAAGGGATATCAAAAAGAAAAAAAAAAAAAATTTTGATGTTTGATCATTTGGTCAGATTTTGTTTGGGCAAAAACTTTCAGCCACATCTTTTGTTAAAGCATTTGCTTTTTCATTGTATTGAAATTTTCAAGGTAACATTTTAGCAGAAAATATCTTCTGATAATATTTTATTAGATGTATTCAACCCAAATAACTAGTTAAAAAAAAAAAAATTCCTGTTTTGTAAATATATTTCCTAATTCTATGACTGAATATTAATAGGTGGAAAATAATGACAACATTACTATATTTGATAAAATTTGCCCAAGAATTAACATTTTTGGCTAAATATGTTAAAAGACGAAATAGTGGAACTGGCATTTTGTATTTGTGTATGGCTGGAATGTTGCAAGAAATTGGAAACTCTTGTTTCATTGTGCATGGCTAGCATTGGGTATCTGACCAGTTTGAGGCTAATAGTGACAATAGTGCAGATAAGTGAACTAACCTGGACAGAGTTTCTCTCTGATTTGCTCATAAATCTTTACCCTCCCCCCAAAAAAAATTTCTTACAATCTAGTAATATTTTTGGGTTTTAAATAACCTGTAAAGCTTTCATTAGCTGTAGATAACAAACATCTTAGACTACTTGTCAGTTTTTTTTATCCTTCCTTTTCTCTCTCTTTTTTTTAAGTTAATTGATTCAAATGATGGGATTTTATTTAATTTCTAATGTTTTGTTTCTAGCCTGGCAAGATATTAAAGGATAAGTGTGAACTGCTGCTTCAAGTTGAACGTAATTTGGACCAGAGACTCAGTCACTCAGCACCCAACATTCACATGACTGGCAAATTGTCCTCAATTCATGCATTCATCACTCTGAAACAGTACAAACTGCTTCGGGGAATTCTTGCTCACAATTTGGGTGAGAAGCTTCCTGAATTTCAAAGACCTGTGATGACCTATTTGAAGGACCCCAGGAATGAGGTAAGACTAAAGGGCACCCCCTACACCTTTTTTTTTAACCATTTATGTTTGTTATATTTAGCAGAAATGGTAAAATCAGGTAAAGATGTGTCGAGATAAATTTATAGAAAGTAAAGAAAAAGAAGGAACAAGCTGATAAATATGCAAGAAGAAGTAAAGAAGCAGTTATAGTAACCAGGATAAATTAGAAAATATATACTGATTTTAAATTCTATTAAAATTATAATAATAACACCACCTCTGCTTTAAACAGAAAAATGAAAATATTTTCCTTTTAACAATAACCTTCTCATTGGTTCCTCTTAATATTTATTGTAGGTTAGTTTTATGTTTATTGACTTTATCTGGATCATTACATTTAATTGACAGTTACTTTTTTTTATTAATAAATGGTAATTCAATACATGGCTCAAGAGCATTTCAATGTAGAGGGTTACTAAATAAAGTTGTAGTATGGATGTAAGAGGAGGAATTAAGTACAGATTATGAAGATCTGTAAGATAGATAACAGTTAACTTGAGATTAAAATTGTAGTCGTTGGGAAGCATCCTCTTGAAAATTTATTTCCCAAAGTAGCAACTGTCCAAATGGAACTCACTCCCTTCCAATGGAATACAAAGTGAATGACAATGTTCACTCTATGTGTATATGTTAGCTGTAAATGTTTGAACTGGTGGGAGTAAAGAACGTAGCCTGCCAGAACATTTTCCATGGAAGTAGTGAGATTGTGGAAAAGGGGTTGTAAATTGGAAGATAAGGTTTTTTTTTTCTGAAGTGGTATAAAGTGTTGACTATTTTACAAGCATCTTTAGCAATGGTTCATATATATATATATATATATATATATATACACACACACACACACACACACACACACATATAAGCTCTATTTATAATATTTTTTCTCTCCTTGCAAAAGATATATCAATTTTCACAATGCATTCAGGCCCACCTAGTTACTCATTATAGAAGTGCATAACTGGGTGGAGGGTGCAAAAGTATAATAATGCCTCCACCCAGTGAGAATAGAAATCCTCAAACATTCTAGTTGATCAACAAGAAAATGAAAATTAATAAAGTTGTCTTGAATTTCATACAAATTCAAGAACAATTAGATGAAATAGGATATAAATCTACAGGGATTTGATGCCAAGAAAGATAAGATTTTGATTCCACATAAACTCTGCAAAGTAATCATCCATCATAGCCAAGATGCTTCCTATATAATATGACATTATTCTCTTGTTGTTAACTGATCTCTTGTTTTGAGTAATGCAGTTGAGATTTGAATAAATCAGCATTTTAGACACTGACATGTGTATAAATCAAGTTACACCAGTTTAAAATTCTCGCTGCATTGGCTCTGACTTCACTGACATATAGTGGTATTATTATTATTATTATTATTATAACTTTAAGAATATGCAGGTTAAATTGTAGAATATAATTTTTCTCTTACCTGCTCAAACCCATGGACTTTCACAACCTCTTATTCCTTCTCAAGCCTCCCACTCAACAATCTGCCATTCATTCACACAATCTTGTCAGGGAGATGGCCTGCTGCCTTCTTCTGTTCCATTTGCCTTCAGTATGTCTTGTGAATGTCAAATTCTTCAAGCCCTCCTTCCTGTGTCCAAGAAATTTCTGTTTTCTCTCACTGATTCTGTTTGTCTTTTTTGTTTCCATTTTTCTTCAGACTTCTTTGTTCCTTATAAGCTCTGTTCATAGTATTTCTCAGCATCCTTCTGTAGAACCACATTTCAATTGCTTCCTGTTTTCTCTTCAACCATGAAGAGATTGTCCAGCGTCCACCACCATATAAGAGGAGCTATGATTGTCCATGTCATGAAGGGATGCAGCACATTCAGATTAGCAAAAAATTATATCCTTTCATTTAACCTTCAAATTTCTAAAGTTATAATAATTTGACCAAAAGTATTAAATAGTTGATAAGCTGGTAGTAATCTGATTTTAGTATTTACTATTAGATGATTGTATATTTTAGTATCTTTTTTTTCTATTGTTTATCAGCCCTTACCAAGTGACATAGTATGGACCAACATGCTGATGGAGATTGACCTTCGAAACATCACAGTTGAATTACTTTTTGATCGAAATAGTGGGTCAGACAATCCATTGGCTCGCTTTGATTTCATTCACTCTAACCTCTTGGTCAAAATTCGATCTAATGGCACAAAAGATGTGGACTTGGTTTCAGATGAAATCCGTGCTGTCGATACACGATACAAAAGTAGGTATATGAAATCTATTGAAAAATTGCATTTGTATATTACTGTAACATTATAAGCATTTTTAGTTATTTGATGCCTGCAATTATTTTTAGATATTCTATTCTACTAATTGAGTTAAATGCTAACCTTTTAAAGAAAGCTGGAAAAAAAAAACTTTAGTTTTGCATTTTATTATATGAAGGAATATTCATGAAAAAAAAAATACTGTGTTAAATTTTGTAAATTACCCTTTACTCAAATCAGTGTTAATTCTCCAGTATAATGTATTGACTGGCTGCTTCTTTCTGAGTATACTCATCTGCTAGTGTAGTTAGCTAATCCTTGTTGCCTACTCCTATTCAGGCACCTTCAATACAGAGCCAACCTGTGGCTTATACTGCATTTATGTTGAGCAGACATTAGTTACAGTTTCTGGCATAATAAGTAGTTGAACAAAGCTAGTAGGCTTGAACAACTGGTCATGATGACTTGTGACTTTGTGCTAACACTACCATCAATGACTTGCGAGCAGTTTTGTCTACCCAATTACACTTACAAGATTTGGGTCAAATCGTGCTATGGCTTTCAGTCACTTCTCAACAGTGCTGCATGCTAGGCTGTTGTTATCAACAATTCACCTCCTTTACAAATCAACCCTGGTTTGGAACATCAACATTCTAACTACTTAGCCATGTGCCTAAATATATGTTTTTAATTATTTACCCATTAACATTCTGTTTCAAAATAGTTGAAATGAACTGTGAATAGGTAAATAATGAGAAAATATTATGATGTTTATTAAAAAACTCTCATATATGCAGTTGGTGTAATGGATAGTGGCTCAGAATGGGAACTCAGAGAGCTGAGTTCAAATTCTAGTTGGGTTCATTGCATTCACTTATGTGCAAATACTCTTGGGAAATAGTATGAATCCATCTCTTCTCTTCTACCCCAGCTATAGATAAATAACAGGACAGACTGTGTCCTCTAGCCTTGGTTGGCAACCAGTCTAGGAAAAGGAAAACTGCATTCAAACCAGCTTGGTGAGGGTTAGCTCTATCAGGTTATCTTACCCAAGACACACCACTGCTGCTAAAGTTACAGTACATGTGGTGCCCTTACAACCCTAATAAATTATAGAACTCATGATTATGAAAAAGCACTTGAAAGTATTTGAAATAGAGTGCTCTTATATACCTAAAGAATGTACAAATTTTATATAAAGGTGCATGTATGAGAGATCTATTCAAAGACTAAGTCAATACATTAAAAATATCTAACTTTAAAAATATTTTCTAATAATCACATATATTTTATTTTTGTTTTGGCTCATTTTCTCTTCTTTTTTTTTTCCTTGCAGACATGTCAACAGGCAAGGCACCAAGTGTGTTTTCTAATATCCTCCAGCCTTCAAAACAGGCAGACGGTACCAGTAAGCTCCAAATGGAGCTTTACTTTCAGTTTACCAGTCAAGTAACTCTCTTCACTGTACTACTTAACAACATGCGCCTCATGTGTATCTTTGATTGGTTACTGGCGGTCAACAACTTTCTAACAACACCAATTGATGACCCATTTTCTGGTAGGTGCTTCTATAACTGGATAAAGTGTCAATAAAGGAAGTCTCCTACCATAAAAATACTTTTTGATGACAGCCTATCAATACAGAATTACATTTTGGATGTGTGCAAAAGTTCCTAGCTCTCTTTTTTTTTGGAATCTGGTTTTCACTGGAAACTTTTGGACACAACTAAAATTTGTATAATATGAAGTGCAACTCAAAAGTTCAATGAATTTTTATATAATATGCAAATTGAATGTAGTATGAACTTTTGCCACTACCTTTTATAAGCAGTATCTTTTGTGAGTCAGTGTGTTTACTCACAATGGAAACGATGTTTGGATAAGTCTTCCCTGCTCTTTTTGAATAGCACATCATCTATCAACCTTAGTGACTGGATTACACAGTAGTTAAATAAAATTTTCTCTTATCAGGATTTTGCACTAGATTTAAAATTTCCAACCATTGTTTAACATGTTTTTTGATCTTTTGATAAAGTTTGATAAACGTCCCCAAAAAAAAAAAAAAGGTGTGTTAAAAGGACTTTTTTTCTTGGCATTGATATTATTATATAATCACTCATCAATTGTTATTATTTTAAAAAGCTATTTTTAGAATTTTAATAAAACCCAGACATCAGAAACTGAATTTACATTTTTTTTTCTCGTTTCTCAACCTATTTTAATGAATTTATGTAAGGAGAACAAGTGAAAGAAACACCCCAAAAATACTGTTTTTACAAAATTTAAAATTACAGTTACTTGTTTGTTTTCATAGTTATTTCTTTACAATAAATAATAAATACTGCATTGTAATTGGTTCACATATTTGTATAATTTTGTAAATATAAAATTATTCTTATAAATAAAGAATCTAATAGTGTTTAATATTGTTGGCAATTCTCAAGAATAAAAAAAAAAAAATTCATAAAAATTTAATTTCATGTTTTGATTTTTTTTTTAAATTCTAAAAATGTTTTTTAGAACAATAAAAATTACTGAGGAACTATACAGTAATAGCAGTGTCAAGAGAAAAAAAACAAAACATTCTTTTGATGTACCTTTTTTTTATGTACTTTTTGACTAAGTGAAGAATAGTTGCAATTTGAACATTTTTCTTACTGTTTTACTCTCTCCAATGACAAGATATTTAGTAAAATCAAATTTTCTCAAACCAGAGAAAGTAAAAGAAATTGATAAAATTCAATTGATAGCTTGATGCAGATGCTGGTTTAAACCTAGTGTTTTATTTTAAATTGCAGTGACAATCCATACTGTTTCTTTTTTTTGTTTTTTTTTTTTTTTCATTAAAGTTAAATTTTTAAAATAAAACTTCATCTGTGTAAGTTATATCAGATTTAGCCAGTATATCGGAGTGTAGGCTTTGCTGTAGCCAATTATAAAGTATAAACTTCTAACCTGTGGTATTATAGCTTTACAAGTAGTAGATGAATTACTGAAAGAAAGGACTTTTTCTTTATATTTTTAAAATTTTCCTTTGAGATGAATTTCAGGCATCCCAAGTTAGACAGAACATAAAAAAACACATTACAGTTGACATTTTCTTATTTGTATATCAATATACAATAGTTGTATGCTATGAATTTGTAGCATTAATAAAATATACACAAAAAATTAAAGCAGAAAACATTTGTATTTTCAATTGCTGCATTTTATTTGTAGATACTAAATCCCAAGTTTCTGTTAATGAAGACGACGAGGAGACAAAATCTCATGAGCCTAGCAAAGATTCGGTGCCTTTACTGCGACCTCATAGTCCCCTGAATATCTCTCAGGGAATAGTCACAAGACGCCGACCAGCCATTGAACAAGTGAGCATCTTTTATGAAAGTGTAAATCTGTTGTAATAGTTTCTTTTTTTTTTTATTACTGAGTGTAGAGACATAGTTGCTCATTCCAAATGTTTAATATCTCTTAATTCATTTTAATTCTAAAAAAATATTTAAATGTTGTTTTGCTTAGATTTTCATTGGCTTCATTGGAGTTATATAGTAAAGTTATAGTAAATTCAAAACATTAATGAATATATACATTTAAACAAGTTTCAAGATTGGATTAGAATATTTATTCTCAAATCTTTTTTCTATATTGGGTTAACTTCATTTAGTTTTTTTTTTTTATGCATAAAAATTAAAAAGAAGAAAAGGTTGAATTTATCATTTCTTGTACATTCTTCATGTAAATGTTATACACAAATTTTGTGTCATAAGAAAAATTATAAAGAACTGAGCTATTCAATTTTTTAATAAAATGGTAGTAGTACTTAAAACTAATTGTACTAGTAATATAGCTGTATTATGGTAAATGAGGATGTGCAGGTGATGTGATAACGGTACTGAATGAGAAATCAGAGCCAATTTCAAATTCCAGTTGTGTTCATCTCATTCATCTATGTGCAAATACCCTTGGAAAATACCCATATCTTCTCCCCCTCCCAGTTATGGGTTAAATATCAGGACAGACTAGGTCCTATATTCTTGGCAAATAACTACAGGAAGTAATGTCAGCTTACTGCGGGAACTGAAAAGAAATCTGATCACTCAAGCATTCATGACGCATGACACAAATGGTAATAATTGTTAGACATTTTCATGACGGTCGTCCTCGAGTATAGAATCTAGAGGTTGGCAGTGAATATTTCGGAGACAGTTGGAGAGCGTAGTGGAGGTTCGCAGTGGATATCACAACAGAGTGTAGTTCATCCTTCTCCTGGTCGCCTTTGGTCCTTCCGGTAGACGAAACAAGATGGCCGCCTTTATACACGATGAATACAGTGTTGGGCGGCTTCTGATTGGTCAACCTTCTATTGGTCGACTATAAAGGGAAATAAGTCATTCTGACTCGCTCACTAGTTATGGGTAGTATATACCCAAAAAACCGTAACAATAATTCCATATACAATTCCCATATACAAATCAATACATGTATGTTTCAAAATAAGGGATGTATCAACAGAACTCAGACATTACATTGATACACTGTCTATCCTCCTTGGGTATTAAAGGCCTGTACTCTTGCAATGCCTATGATCATACAGATGGTACATACCATTCTGCAATACAATATTCCATGCCTGTTATACCTGTTGATGCAATACAGCAAGAATTGTAAGTGGACCAGATGAACAAGTCAGGTTTCATCTTATGTTCCATATATATTTGAAGAGGATAGGCCTGGAAATTATGTTGGTCAGGGGTTGTCAAACATCTTGCACTATGTGTGTGTGATGAGTCATGTTGCCATTATCCTGCTGGAATAGCACATCAGCTTCCTTTTGCAGGAGGTATGTGTGGGTGGTGTAATGGATAGTGAGTTGGATTGAGAAATAAAAGAGCCAAATTTTAATTCCAGTTGAGTTCCAATATATACACTTTTATGCAATTACACTTGGGAAAAGTATGAATCCATTTCTTTCTCCCCAGGTATGGGTTCTGGAAAAAATCATTTTTACCATCAAAAAATTTGTTAATGCAATATTCACTTGTAAAAAAATTAAAAAAAATATTCTTGCAATCCCCCAATGTTTTGGTTTTAGATAACCCACAAAGGGTTGATAAACTGTAAAAAACAAATCAAGCAATCCTTTTGTAAGAATCATAGCAGAATGGGTTTAATAATGTTCTGGATGTCCATGGCACTAGTCAGTGTTCCCTCCACAGACACCAAAGGTAAACAAGAGATAATTTCTGGCACCCACACCATTATGCCAAGTGTTGTCAGCAAATATACTCTGTAAGATGTTGTTCCCCAGATTTACATCAGACATGCAAACAACCATCACTTGCACTGTAGATAACTATTTGATCCTGCAGGTAACCTTTTGGGACACTACTGCAGGTAGGCATGAAGTTGTTGTGGTGTCAATGGAAGTTTGGAGAGAGAGAGAGAGTGCGACACACACACGTCTGTCATCCTGTTAAAAATGAATGATTCCCAACAGTTCATGTTGACAATCCTGGGAGAACATTTGCTCTGAAATATGCTGTGGTCTGTTACAGCTGCTCTTACAATGTGTCACTCTTCACAAGCATCTGTATTATGTGGCTCTCAGGGTGGAAGAATTTTCATTTGATTATTGTTGCAAACATCAAAGCATCACCAGCCGGTCACATTCAACATGCACAATTATTCTCTGAAATGATCATCCAGCCTCTCTTAAAAAGCTCTAATTGAATCCTGTGTACTTCTTTGTGGCATGGCACCTACTTGCACTAGACTCTTTCACTACAGTGAACCTTACTGCAACATGTGCCATCATTTACAGGTCACACAAACTGTATACTTTTATGAGTGTTACTAGACCATAAGATGGCCAAAGATTTGAAAATTTTCTCTATTACCCATTAATATGTACATACTGTACAGGGTGCGATGGACAAATTGTTTACATTACACAAAGTGAAAATAACACTTATATTTCATTTTAACAGATCTATTTACCAAAATTACACAAAAATAACTTGAAATACTAAAGAATAAATTTTATTCAATAAAATCGCCATTAGCTTCAACCACAGCCTCCAGATGACTTCGGAATCTTCTGCAACTCCTCTGGATGGCCTCCTTGTTCAAGTTGGTGAATGGTGCCAGAATCCTTGCCTTCAGTTCATCGTTGGTATTACTTGCTCAGCTGCACCCCACATAATAATCAAGGGGGTTGCAGTCTGAGGAATTAGGTGGACAGTTGTAAGGAGTGATGTGGTTGCAGAAATTGGGTTCTCCTGCTTGTGTGGCATGGTGCAAAGTCCTTTTGCCAGATATAGGGTCTTCTAGCCTCTTGAACCAGAACTGCACTACTTCCTCAAGGCACTTGATGTAGACCTCCGTGTTGAGTCTGAGGCCCTCACCAATAAGTTTAGGAGTTCTTTTCTCACCAGAAAGATCAGAGTTTGTAATCACCATTAGACTCATCCAAGTCTTTCTGAATTCTCTGCACTGTCCTCAGATTGACATCAAACACTCTGAAATGTTCATATTGAAACTTCTGGCATGAATGCCAAGCAGTACAGCATGCTGTTTCCAAGTTTCTGGTGGTGTGAATTGCATAATGGTGCTCTTTTTCTCAAGGATGGTTTCCAACTGACCCTACTATACTGTGTAGCCAGCAAAATCAAAAACAAACAACATGCATACACAAAATTAAAGATATAAAATGTTGACAATTTACTCATCATGCCCTGTACTTTGATCAGAATTAGTCTTGTCCTTCAGAGATTTGCAATTTGATTGTCTGTCAACTTTGATAATGTTTGGCTTTTACTACTTCAAAAAAAGTAGTTATTGTTTTAAATTTCAATCCCGCAAGAAAATCTGTTACATTCTTAAATTATTTCTATTACAATTCAGAATTGCACTAAATCTCTCATAATACTTTATTCTTTTACTACAAAAAAGTATTTTTAGTTTTTATTATTATATTTATTTGCATTATTTTAACTAAGTATTGGTTCTTGTAATTATGTTGCATTGTTTATAAATATTTGTGCTTCTTTTATTAGGTGGAAGTACCATTTGAGTTAAAGGTAAATGTGAGAAACACACAGTTTGTGGTTGTTGCAGACATGTCAACATGGGATACAGAAGCAGCTATACTGAAGGTAGGTCAATAACTGCACAGATTACATTGTGTGTGTGTATGTATATATATATATATATATATATATATATATATGATATTATTTTATATATACAGTGGGTAGCAAAAGTATTTAACACATTGGTTTTTCTTACATATCTCAAAAAATAACAGATCAATTTCAAAGAAACTTATAGGAAATATTTAAACGAACATTGTCGATCAAAACATAGAAGGAAAATTTAAAACCACTGTTTTGAGAAATATTTATTAACAATAAATAAAATAACCCATATGCAAAAGTATTTAAGACACTTTACTAATATTTAGTACAGTAGCCTCTGTTCTTCTTCACAGCCTCCATCATTTCCCATAGTCTTCAACTAGTTTCTTGCAGGTACTTGTTGGTATTTTGAACCATTCTTCTTCACAAATTTTCTTCAATTTGTTTAAATTCAATGGATTTCTTTTATGAACAACGTAACTTCAATAGTTTCCACAAATTTTGATTGATTTAAATCCAGTGACTGGCTTGGCCATTCAGGACATTAATGTCATTATTATTAAAGCAATTCTTAGTTGTTTTAGCAGTATGCTTCTGGTCATTGTCTTGTTGAAATACAAAATCACGACCATGTCCCAAAGATGTGGCACTGTTCAAGAGTTGAGTTGACAAAATTTGAGTGTATTTTGTAGCATTCATTGTTCCTTCGATGATTTTCATTTTTCCTACTCCATTTGAGGAAAAACAACCCCACATCGTAATATTTCCACCCCGATGTTTGACTGTAGGGATGGTATTTGCTGGCTCATATTCCGCTCTTTTTTTCCTCCATACATGAGTGCGCATGTCTCGTCCGTAAAGCTCAGTTTTTGTTTTGTTTGACCAAATTACTTTCTCCCAGAAATCATTACATTCAATTTCATATTTCTTTACAAAATTCAAATGGGCTTGTACATGTCGGCGTTTCAGTAATGGAGTCTTTCTCGGTGATCTTGAAGTGAGACCTGCACGATTCAGTGATCTTTTAATTGTATCTTTACTAACTTCAATTCTGGCATTTTTCAAATCATTCTGAATTCCTCGACGAGTTGAAAATGGATTTTTCTTCACAGTACGGGAAATGTATCGCTCATTAGCCTCATTTAAGATATGGGGACGACCGCTCCTTTGAATGTTTTCAATAGTATCGAATTTTTTCCGTTTTCGAACAACAGCACCAACTGTACTCACAAGCAAATTCAAATCTTGAGCGATTTTTCTATATCCCTTACCATCTTGGTGATTCTTTATGATCTTCTTGGATTTTAATGTCATTCGACAATTCTTTTGTTTTCACCATTTTCTTGCAGTAGTGGCAACAGAATAGCTGCAGTGTCTCAGAGCTGTTATCTAATAGCCAGTTGAGTGTCATGCAGTGCTGTCATTGGTCGACATATCATATCAATATGGGTAGGAATCATGACGACACGTCTCTTCTAGCATAATATTTGCACTGGTGTTAAATACTTTTGCATATGGGTTACTTTATTTATTGTTAATAAATATTTCTCAAAACGGTGGTTTTAAATTTTCCTTCTATGTTTTGATCGACAATGTTCGTTTAAATATTTCCTATAAGTTTCGTTGAAATTGATCTGTAATTTTTTGCGATATGTAAGAAAAAAACCAATGTGTTAAATACTTTTGCTACCCACTATATATAATAATATCAGTAACTATTCATAGATCAGAGACAAATTTTGGGGATACAAAATCATTTAAAATAAGTGCATGTATTTGTGCTTGGATATTTAAAATACATTTCAATTCTTTTTATCTGTATTTATTTTTATTTCTTGATTTTTGAATTTTTATTGAAAATAAAATCATAAATATCTCTCAGATGGTGCAACTGTGTTATAGCAATTCAAAAATGCTTTCTATCTATTCACTTAAAATTGAATATAGTAATCTTAAATTAAAAAATTGAACTAAAATCTTTAAGCCAAGCATTTTTAACTCTTCAGCATTTTATTTGGACATACATTTTCAGTTTTGATATTTTTACTATTAGGAGGTGCTGTAAAGTTCTCAACTTGATGAAGACACTCTTTCAAAAAATAAAAACAAAATAAAATTCTGATGTTTGGTTATTTTTTTCAGATATTGAAAAGTAAATTGGGCCAAGAATTTATCAACACCTCATCATGCAACTAATAGACAATATAACACTGTTTTGCACTGGTGAAATTTGATAAATCTTCCTAGTTGCATGCAACTGTAGTGTTGAACAATTCCCCTATAAGCTTATAAAACAAATGTCATTCTGAAACTGATAAAAATGAAGTTAGGTTCAAAGTTCATTGAAAGATTTGGCATATAATTAAGATTAACAACAAAAATGTTACTCTTACTCCAAATCTCAGTAAATCTCATCTGAATATTCTTGACTTAAACAATATTGGATGTATTTTTCCTATTTCAGTGTACAGCTGTACTTCGTTACCGACCCAAGGCACAGGATTTACCTCTGTCATGCAGTCTACAGAGTTTAGAAGTGTTTTCTTGCTTTCTGATGGAAGAAGAGGAGACAGCACTGTCAATCATTGATCCTACCAGTGTCAACATAGAGATGAATGCCAATCCTTTGCCTGACCGAGGTGCATCACGTATAACAGGATTACTGGATGCTCCAGCAGTGGAACACCCACTCGTATTGGAGGTAAGATGCATATTGTTGAAAATATGCACTCAGCTTTATCTGTTTTCTTCCTTTTAAAAATATTTCTTTTGTCTATACAAATTTAGAGTTCCCTTTATGCCTGCCATTCTGCTTATTGTCTTTAATATTTATTGATTGATCATAGTTCTTTTATTTATGCATTTCAGATAAACATGAATCTGCTGAACATTCGTCTATCATACAATGACATGAAAATGTTCATGGCTGTTTTTGACTCCTTGCCCCAACAAGCAATTAACGCCCGAACCTTACAAAATATTAATTTCAAGTTCCCAGGTTTGTAAATGTCTTCTCTTCATCAAGAGTTGTAAACGCCTTCACTGCTGTATTCCTTGTTATAACATTGTTGCCTGGCTGTGCTGGCTCGTTTTGGGGAAAAATAGGAAATTTGCCACTTACTGAAAATAAATGACTACAAAGATGCTGATGGCAATTTCTCATGGATGCTGCCATTTTAATTTTGATCAGATAGTCTGCAGTACAGACTAAACTAAACAACACCCCTCAACACATAATCTAATAATATAATGTCAGCAAAGAGGTCATATTGTACACTAATATATGTCTATTCTGATTTGGAAATAGCATCAAGTACCAATCTATAATGTAAATGCGATGGACCCGACAGTTCATGCTGCCTTGAAAATGTACATATATGTAGACAGCAGGTAATGTAGGTTTTATAAAGATGTATAAGTAACTCTACAGCAGCAGAAGTGCTTGCCAGTTCAATTACATGTAAATACTGCTTCTGTTACCATCTAGTAAGTCATAACAACAATCATTGCCTTCCTTAATGCTTTCACTGTTGCATTGTTATTGCATTGACACCTGACTGTGCTGGCCCATTTTAGAGGGAAAATTGCCAATTACTAGAAATAAAAGATTATAAATACACTGATAATAATTTCTCGTGGGTGTTACCATTTTGGTTTTGATTGATATTCTGCAGCATAAACTAAGCTAAATGACACCCTCCACATGTCCAAAAAAAAAAATTGTATGCTATTGTATGCCTAAACCCATTTGGAAATAGCACTAAACACTAATCAGTTTATAACATAAGCATTATGGACTGTCATTTCATGATGTGTTGAAAATGTGTATACATGTTGACAGCTGGTTGTGTAAGTTTCATAAAGACATATAAGTATTTCTGCAACAGTGGAAAATTGATTAATGACTAATATTCACCTTTATTAAGACAAAATTCTTCTAGCTGGATCTAAACAGAATTGTTCAAACATTAGAAGAAAATTCCATTGATTTCAGTAAAGAATGATCAAAGGTGAGACTTTTTAGTGTTATACTTGGTGAAGCTAAGACAATGAAAATGCAAAAGAGAGACTTGGACCACTCAGACATATATCAAAAGTAAGTCTATATTCTATTGCAGGTTGAACTCATTACTAGCATTTTAAACACATCTATTTGATGAATATACAACTTTCCACAAAATAGAGTATTTGTTCTTTGCAGAAACTGTAAAATGTACTACAACTGGCAGAGATATGTTGCCAGATAGAGAAAGTTCTGTAGATGCACCTGTCTCCCCAAAGCAAACAATGCCCAGTTCTCCAGGAAGTCCATTGAATCGAGCTCTCAGCCTGAAACCTACATATCTGTCAGGCGCTCCAGTGAGACCAATTATGAAGGTCCACTCACCCTGACTGGTATTGAGGTAAGGACAGTTAAATTGATTATTTGTTTTAATCATTTTACTTTCTCTAATGGTTACTAAAATTACTACATCTGCTTTTTTGAATAAGACTTGAAGATTTAAGTTCTGTAAATTAGATAAACAAGAATTACAGCAAGTAACCAGGATGACAATTGTTTGGTTAATTTTTATTTTTTTTTAGTGTTCATTAGGCTAATTTGTTGTCCTTATTTAATGGTAAAATAACAGCGAAAAAGAGAATTTGTATTGCTTTTTCAAAATAAAGTTAAAAGAAAAATATATCTATAGTTTCTTTTCAATTCTATGTTTGTACTTTCTATATTATCTGAAAAACCTAAATTATGATTGTTTCAGTATTTAGGCCTTTTATACCATTACCCCATGCCCCCTCCCCCAAATTGACAACTTTGTTTTTTTTTTTCATTTATTTTGAAACCTGAATTAGCTTGTGCAAAAATATTTCCTCATAGAATTTTTCATTTTAGTATAAATTAATTTGTTCAACTTTCAGCCAAGGTTAGCATTTTCAGTTTCAATGTATTTTTATTTGGTGATATACCTCTGATGCTTTGTTCTTAAATTTATCATGTTTGCTGAGGATTCCATTTCTGATTATTTTGTTTTCGTCCTGACATATGTAACTTTATGAATTCGTTAATAATCAAATTTATTGATTTCTCATTTTACTCTTTCAGGTGAAAGCTGGTTCTATTTGCATATGTCTTATTGATGATTGTAAAGACGCGGATGTACCTTTGGCTGAGATCTCCTTTAATCGTAAGTTGTTCTAATTTAAACATTTGTTATTTCATGCTATATTTTTTTTTTTTTTCAATTGACTCATATCTTAACCTATTTTGTGTACAACTTGCAGAATTGGATCTTCATCAACATCTCTTACCTAAAAAAGCTGGCCGAGGTGTTTTCAAACTGGTTGGTGATTACTACAATCGCAAACTTTCTGGATGGGAACCATTTATTGAGAACTGGAAGTAAGTAGAAATTTCCCTACATATTTTCATTTTGCAAACAAGTAATGGAGGTGCAGGGGTGGCTAATGGTTAAAACTGAAAAATGGAATTGGCAATCAAAGTTCAAGATCTGACTGAGTTTGTGTTCACTCTGCATTAATATATTTGAAAAAGGCATCAACCTGTCTCTTCTCCAGCTATGGATTAAATAGCAGGACTGATTGGGCCTGATTGGCAACCTCTCTAAGAGATTGATTTATTTTTTATGACTTATCGACCCTTTGTGGGTTCTTTAAAACTGAAACACATTTGGGATTGTAGGAAGTTGCTTCCAGTACCAAGTGTTATGAAACTGTCCCTCGTCTAAGTACTGATCGGGTTTGATGCTGCTTGAATTTGATGATCAAATAAGAACCAGTGTTTTCAGCATTATTTAACCATAAGACGACTTTAAGTGAAGGACAACTGAGAAGGCAATGGAAAAACATTTTGCTATCTTTTCCTAAGAATAATCATGGCAATGCACAGTTGACAGATATTAAATAAAAGGAAACTGAAGAGCCATGATCACCTCTGGCCTGAAGGGACATGTTAAAAAAAACAAAAAAAAAACTGGTTTGTAGAATGCTCAAACTAAGAAAACAATTGTCTGATTTATTCTCTTGCAGATGCGGAGAAATATATAATTTAAAATTTATTTAGGAGGCCTACTTTTTTGTTCATCTATTTTGACTTTACAGTAAAGTATGTGAATGCCTAAATAATAACCAGCATCTGGTTTGTAGAACACTCAAGATGACTCTCAGTATGGAAAAGCCTAAGTGACATTAAGAACCAGATAAGACTACCTAACAATCATCAAATGATGTATTACTACACTCGAGCATATCCAAGTGTTAACTGAGGTTAAAATTGCATAAAATGAAGAAACCTCAAGCAAAGCGTAAACTAAACAATGCAACAATCTCAGAAATGATCCTATTTTCAAACAAACATAAGCAATTGTAGTTAATAAGAAATATAAAACTTTTGGGGAGGGTCAGTAAACAAAAAGAAAACACTAGTGATAACAACAAAAGAAGTCATCTCAAGGGAAGAGAAACGAGAAAAAAAAATGGATGACAAATAAAATTCTTGAACTAATCTTTGTGCTATCAACTGTCTTAGTAGATAACACCAAGAAATGTATGGTGTTAAACAAAAACCTTGGAGTAATTGCAAGCAAGACAAAAGTTTAATGGTAATATTATGCATTTCCTTATAAGGAAACATTCAACCTTTTTTGACCAGCAGCTAGTGCTGCTGTCAGTTGAAATTTATAAAATTTTTCTATTAAAACAATTTTTCAAGAAAATAGGTTTCTTGAGTTCACTGTTATAGCTCTTTCCAGTCGTGATGTAGTTTCTTTCCTATTTGCTTGATGTAGTATGTAATGTCAACATCTTGATTGTGTCATTATTTTCTCTCTCAACTATATGTGCTATCCATTTTTGTTGTTAGTATTCAAATGATGTGGTTTCTGTTATTTAGTACAGTTCTTTGTGACTCTGTGGTACCAGTCCACAAGGTTTGAAGGAGTATAGTCCTCACTAACACCTACAGACTTCAGCCACTTAAAAGCCATTTCTCATCATTGATCTGAGAAATTGGTTCTATAAAGTTGACAGTTTAGATATTTCTGAACAGGTTTGGTACCATGCATTGACATCCATATAAAAGTTTCTATCTGATGAGGCTATTTAAGAAAATGACTTTAAAAAGGATGTCAAGAAAAATTTATTTTTAGCAATATTCAGTTTATTAAAGCTGAACTTTTGCTTCCACTCTGTTAGTAAACAGCAGACTAAAGACTTCTGTGATCTGATATGATACTTGAAATGATATACAACTAAATTTTGTTTTTTTCAGATGTAATACAAGTTGGGAATTCACAGATGCACCTGAAGAGAAACTGGAAGTGAAGGTTGAATGTAAGTTATCATTTTAACCTTTTCTGTTTCAATTTATTTTAACTTGCTGAAAATGTTTTCAATTTAATTGCTAGTTCAGATAAATTGCAGTTCAGTATGCAAAAATTCATTCAACTAATGCATTTTAAATTTATGCAAAATTATTTTTCACTATTTTTATTAAACAGAAATAACTTATAATTTCATTTTGTCCATCTACATAGATTAAAAATATTTTACTAATTTTGTTTGTGTTTTACATTGGGAATGAATTTATTAGAACTTCACATATCAGTTTGCTTTTATTTAGATTTTTTTCTTATATATTCTCTAATTTGAACCAATTAAAAGATCCAAACATGCAGTTATTTTTATTACTCTATGCAGATATTTCACTTATGACAAATGTTACAGGTCAATTGCAATATAAGCAACTCATTGTTATTTCCATAAAAGATCTACACTGTAGCTATATGTATGTATGCATGTTAAATAACCCTGTATAAAATAAATGTATGTGACTATGTAAAGGTAATTTCTATTTTTTTTTTTTTAATTTTTATTTTAGCCATTGAATGTCTTAATATAAACCTGACTAGTGCCTTCATTGATCAATACACCAAAACCAGACTCAAATGGACAGAAGATTACTACAAAAATGCTGAAGAGAATAAGTAAGTGCATTTCATTGCAGTGCAAATACATTTTTATTTTTAGAGACTAAATGCAAAATGAAATTTAATACCTTACATTTTTATGCTGTTTGACAGTTTGAAATTAGAATAAAGCTTTGTCTTAAAATTTATTTGAAAAACAATTACATTAATAGTTACATTATTTTGATATGACAGTTATTTTAGATTGATATTAAATGATAACAAGAATCCACAAAATGGTGGTTCCTGAGAAGAAGCTATGGAATATAGTTCATTTGAACACTTTTTATAGAAATAGTGATAGAGTAGCAAAAGGCTTTAAAAATTTTGTCTGTGAGGAAATGGGTTTTTAGGAGGGAAAATAATTCATCATTCACAAGGTCGTGTAGAGGCTTTTGAACTCTATTGAGACTGGAAAGTGAAGGCTGGGCAGCAGTACTCCATTTTCAGCCAAATCTAGCACTTGTAAAAGTAGAGAATAGCAGGTGGAGTTGGGTACTTACTAGAGCATTACAGGGAACTAACTTTAGCAATGCATTGTGTGTATAAATATATATATATATATATATATATATATATATATATATATATATATATATATATATATATATATATGAGTTCCACTAAAGTCACTTTAAGGTATGAGGCCTTCCCGAGAGAACACATATTCATTGAGATTGGTGAAAATTAAAAGTCTGCTTAGTGATGATGGAATGTCATGAGTTTGGTTTTCGAGACCTTGAATGTGACCAGCCAGTTTTCCCTCACTGGTATAAAAATAACAGTAAAGATTCAGTTATACATTTCCTTTCAGATAGATTTTAAGTTTATTATAATGTTAGAGATTTTGGTGAAGAATCGTTTTGCAGTTTGACATATCTATTACTTTCTAAAACAATTGGAATATATTATCAAAGTCATTCGACATTATGCATTGGAAAAGGATATCTATTTTCAGGCAATAAAAATAGACAAATGCAAGCTATTGTTTTTAACTAAAATCTTGTAAATTTTTTATATTGAAAATTGTTAGCTTGGTTGCATAGGTGCAAAAATGTTTGTACAGTTAGGACTGAATCTTTGCTTGTTTTCCTTTTCTTTATTGATTCATTGATTCTTTGTTGTAGGATATCTGCCAAAGACAGTGTCTCTTCATCTAAGCAGACAGTTGCCAAAAGATTTGGTCTTCAAAAACGTATTCCTTTTGTGCCTTTTGTGATTCGAAATCACACAGGTTTACCTTTCCACTTTCTGACTATGACGACAACACCTGCCTGGTAAGTGAACTCTCTCCATTTAGTTTACTCTGATCAATTTCTGTATTTCAGTTGGATTTTCTTCGCCACAAATTCTACCTAAGTTTAACAATAAAAACAATTTAATAATTATATATACATATATATATATATATATATATATATATATATATATATAAGCAAATATATGGATATAGATCCGACAAATATGAAGAAAATATACGGAAAATAAAAAAACAAAAAAACCTAATATGCAACTATGCTGTTTTAATGTTAATATAATGTCAACGTCAGACGTTTCGGTCAATAGACCATCTTCAGGACATATTCATAAAACATAATTAACATAGACCATATTCAATTCAACATGAAAAAACGATGGACATAAAAGCAAACCAATCCAAACAGATAAAAATTTTAAAAAAAATCTGTTTGGATTTCTTCGTTTTTTTCATTGTTAATTAATAACCCAACATGAATATGTCCTGAAGATGGTCTATTAGACCTAAATGTCCGACGTTGACATCATATTAATATTAAAACAGCATAATTGCATATTAGGATTTTTCAATTTTTGATTTTTTTTTTTTTTATATATTTTTTTTTATTATATATATATATATATATATATATATATATATATATATAAAAATGCCCAATTTATTTTTATTGTTTGCTTTGGCTGGACAAAGTAAAAACATTCTCTTCTCCTGTGCATATTGTATTTTCTACTAAATCTGTTTTGATGTCTACCCAAAAGGATATTCTAAACCCGCCATCATATTAATAATGTTATTTAGCATTTTAAATATAGTTGCAGTGCTAACTACATAGGTAGAACAACCCAATGTTTAGATACTAGAATACAGCAGCATATACCTAGAAAAATCAGGAATAAAACATTCCAAATAAAAAAACAAAATTTGAACAACACATATGGTTCCTCCATCATGGAGCATCTTATTGAAAACTCAAATTGTGTCACTAACTTTAGCATTGATTCATTTACCATCTTGAGTCATACTTGCTCTATATTGCAAATAAAGGTTTTGGAAACAATTTACATTCGACCCAGGTAGCTCTCCCTCTGTAAATAGAGGGAGTGTTTGTTAGGACTAAATGTGAGTTCAATTTAAATTGTATTCCACCTTCATTAATATTACATATCATTTTTATGTTTTATATTCTTGCAATATATAATTCCTCAATACAGCTCTGTTGAGTGAGGGTGAAACGAGTCAGCTGTGTTTGTTTCATTTTTCACTTTTCTTTTTAATCATGAAAAGTTAAATAAGTGTAACCTTTTTTTTTTTTTATTACTATGATATATATATGTATCTGTCATATTTATTTTAACTATATACATTTCTCTACACTCATCTATAACCTTATGAAATCTAACAATTTTTTTTTCTATCAAATGCATCTTTTCTTTGATGTTCAAGTTTACATATGAATTATTTTTGATCTTTGAAGTGTCTGCTATTTCTTTCAGGGATTCTAAGGTATTGGAATGTTTTCAGCAAATATTAATCACAGATATTTTTTCTTTTGAGACTGATATTATTTCCTGTTTAAAAGGAATCAATTTCTAAAATGAATTTACTCATTTAAAGTTTCACATTATAAATGAATAATATAAATAATCAAAGACTTAGTTGATAATCATTTTTTCCTAGTATACCATGCAATTACTGGAGAGGTAAAATGAACTATTTTATAATACATTAAAAAATATGTTAAAAACTAGTAAAAATATTGTTTTACTGCATAATCAGTTTTTGCCTATGTATTCTGTAGGAATAGATTTTTATTATTGAAATATAATGTAATCATTAAGATTACATTATATTTCGATAAATTTTGCTCTTAAAAAAATTTGAAGGAAGATTTTTTTATGAAAAAAACATATATTTAGAAAGATTATTAATTAATCTTTCTAAATATATGATAGATTTTTTTTTTTTTTTTAATCTTCCTGTAAGTTGTCAAAAGAACATCAGTGTGAAAAGAGATGATGCTTCATATTATATAATCTGATATATTCATCTAACAGAAAATGAATCATATCTAATGCCTAGAAAGTAATAATATTAATGAATACATTAGTGCTGTCTGCTCTGTTTATGGTATTTTTTTTTTCTTCTTTTAAGTGTGTCCGGGGTTGATACCAAACACAACAGGCTTGAAAAAAATAATGACTCTTATATTATGGCAACTGAATGGAAACAAGTTGAACCAAATGAAGAAATGCCATTCTTTTTCCAACGACGAGAGAAAATAAGACACAAAGTAGGCAACTTTTATTCTTTCTTTGTTATGAGATTGGTATATTTTAAAATGATTAACATAAGCTCAATAAAATTGGTTGCCTTAGCTTTAGGTTCAACATGTAGAACTAACTGATACCTACATTTTTATGAAGTACTTGGTTATAAACAGATAAAAGCCACTTTGCTTGAAAGTTTAGTGTACTATTCTAATCTTATATTTCTTTGAAAGTTGCTGGAGTTTTCCAATATTTATAAAAACAATCTTTTACAGTCAGCAATTGTACAAGGGGTGCTGAAAAGCTGATTTTAAATGACCATACTTTTCTCGCACCCTCATGTTTTTATTTTTTTTATTAATTATTGCAAATGATTGTTTAAAAATATTTTTATATTAGTTCAGTACTACACTTGGTTTCTTTTTCAAAATCATTTTTTTTCTTCTTAATGCAATTATGTTCTGAAAACAAAAATACATTGTTTAAAAAGGAAAAAAATATAGTTGAGATATTTTAGTTTTTGTCCTTAGGTGATTTGAAAACATGTGCAGGTAGTAGTTAGAGGCATGGAAAGAGAAATCAACAAGCCGAGTTCAAATTTCAGTTGTTAATGACATTCACTTTCACACAAATAACCTTGATAAAGATATGTATCTCTTCTTCCAGCTCTGGGATTACAGCCACATAACATTGATACACTGGTTCCTGTACAATTATTACCAAGGTTAAGCAATGTCTATTCTGGTCAGTACCTAGATGAGTGGTCACTTAGGAATACTAGGGGCTGTAAACTTGGATGTGTGGGTGATGTAATGGATAATGGCTTGGAATTGTTAATCAGATAGCCATGTTCTATTCCCCATTGGGTTAATTATATTCACTTAGGAGCAAATACTCTTGGTAAGGGTATGAATCCAAAAATCTCCCACTCTCAGTTATGAGTTAACTTAGGTACTTCCATGAGACCGCTAAAAAAAAGAGCATAGCATGATGAAAAAGACACCAAACTTGACAAAAACAAAATTTTATTGTCTAAATGTTTGTTATTATTAAGAGGAAAGATCAAAGTATTTGGGGGTATTTTTTTTTTTACATTTTTTAATCGTTCCTAGCACGTCTGAAATTTTCATTAAAAATCTTGTTTTTTTTTTTTTTTTTTTTTTGAGTCAAAAAAATTGACAGATAATCAATTTTCAACCATTTTTTCCATTTTATAAAAAAAATGAAAAATCTCACTTTGAAATTCTTTTAAATATCAGTTATCATTTTTTCAAAACTTATTTTAAAAAAATCAGAAATTATAATGTTTATTTAAAATATTTTGAACCAAGCTTAACTTATCTTTTGTGCCAAAAAGATGTAATTTGAGAATAAAACAAAGCAGGTTATAAACTTTCGCCTCACTTGACAGGTGATGAATGACATATTGACGGATTCCGTGAGGATAATTTGTTCTACGGAAGGAGAAAAGTGAAATTATTTACATTTAAGTGAACAAATTATTTACCTCATTATTTTTAAGGAAAACTTTCAGCGCTCTAATTTTTTTTTTTGTTTTTTTTTTGTACTTAGCTTTCACCTTTTACGTTTACGATGCTTTATGGAAAATATATTAAAAGAAATTAAAAAATAAGACTGTTAAGAGTGAGATTAAATTTCATAAGAAAGGTATCTAATTAATTTATAGGTATCTTTCTTATGAAATTTTATCAGAAGTGTACATAAAATACTATAATTTTATATACATTTATTACATTTTACTGTGTTATTTGTATTTCCATTAATTTTATTATTAATTTTGATATTTCATTTATGGAAAAATGTCATAACTGAGATTAATATAAAAATAAGATCATATAAATTTCATAAGATGATACTGATACTTTTAGGTACCCTTCTCAGTTGAAATTGAAAAATCAAATAAACTTCTCGACACGTGTTTTGCAAAAATAAAGGCTTTAACAGCGGAGAACAATGCTTAACTCAAATAATGCAACTTAATTGTATTCTGGTTGGTCTTCCATACTTTATAATTACAGCTCAATTATAAACACAAAATTACATTTCTTAATTACTGTGGGTCTTTTGATTAGTCAAAATGATACAATTTACAACGCGCTAAAAAAAAGATCTATCTCATAAGGACACTTTGAAAGTGGATGCGGTTTTTAACTAATTTTATAATATTTTTTAAACTTAAATGTAAAAATCTATTATAATTAAAAAATAACAAATAATTGTATTAAAAAAAAAATTCATTTTTCATCGAAAAAAATTTTTTTTGCTTTCAGAAAATATTGTCCATATTCATAAAAACAACTAAAAGCAAATAAAAGCATTTGAAATTAAATAATATATTTGTTTTATTGAGTTTTTTATGTTACAATTCAGAGCTGATTTTCAGGTTGGTTGGGGGTCTAAAAAAAAACAAAAAACATGATTTGCATTCCTCAAAGCCTTGTGTTTTTAACTATTGTAATCACTAAAACCGATGGACTTGATCGAATTTCTAGAGTTTTCATAAAATTAGTTATGAGGGAGGGTAATAAATATAAAAAATATTTCTGCCATGACTTTAATAAAAGAAAACGTATTTATAATAATTGCGATCATCTGTGAATAGTTTCTGAAAGTTTCATTAACATCCAACAATTATTTTTATTTTTGCAAGATTTTCCAAATTAATGTGTGTCATACAAAAAGAAACGTGCTAAAAATTGTATGTTATTTTACTAATTCCGGTGATACAAAGAGAAACAAGGATTTTTAAATGAAAATTCAAATTGTTCTAAAGAAGGGAAAATTTTAAAAAATAATTAAAATAAACTTTGATCTTTCCTCTTAATAATAACATGAACATTTAGACAATAAAATTTTGTTTTCGTCAAGTTTGGTGTCTTTTTCATCATGCTATGCTCTTTTTTTAGCGATCTCATGGAGGTACCTAAGTTAACTAGTAAGATTTGTATCACTAACTTATTATCTCCAAAATACATTCTTACATTCTAAAAATGTTTTCTGACTTTAAATAACCAGCAAAAGTTTGATAAACCATAGAAAATGAATGAATCAATTCTCCTAGTTAGGGGTTAAATAGCAAGGAAGACTGGGCTCTCTAGCTCTGGTTGACAAACAATCTAGACTGACAATTCTGAATTCAAAATCATATATGGCTCTGGTAAATCACATATGATACAGCCATTTTTTTTAATTTACTAAATGCTTACTTATTACAAGGCCCAAGAGCCATTCAAGGTAGAGGATTAGTATATGAGGTTGTTGTATGGACATAAGAGGTGAAAGTATGTACAGATTATATAGATATATAGGATAGATAACAACACTTAACCCTAGACTTGAAGAGGTTAAGATTGTTGTAGTCAGAGTAGCAGGTCTTAGGAAGAAATTGCCTGAATGGAACTTCTTTCTTACCAATGGAATACAAAGGGCAAGAGGATGGTTTGACCCTGTACATATCGCATGGTGTGTCTTAGCTGTAAAGGTCTGAATTCTTAAAATTAGGGATTGTTGCTCTTCAGACGTTACATTATATGTAGTTCACAATTAACTGTGGGCTTGTTAACTGTGGTTTTGACTGATGCGATAGGATTAGGTAAGTTTTGAAAGTTGCAAAGATTTAACTGCTTTATTTATTTACATTTTTTTATTACATTTATTCAGCTGTGTCTATTCTTTTTTAGAATGTACAAATATGCATTATGGATACCAAATGTATGAATCTGCATTATTGATATCAACTGTATAGCAATGCAATATTTCTAGTTCACTAAATTCACTTTTGCTTGCATGATAATAGATATCTGATCTTTTAACTGTTATTTTTTATTTCAGGAGACTCATGAACTTCGAGTCAACCAATTGGTGGGAAAAGCTGAGGGATGGCAGAAAATGAGTGCTGTAACTGTTGACAAAGTTGGGGTGTATTTCCGTGATGCCCAGCCTGACGAGAAAGTGATTCGTAGCCAGGTATCTTTCGAGCCCTTAAAAACGGGTGTGCTCAACTTCTCCACCACATATCGTTCCAGTGATCTTCCATCTCCTGCTGGGGGGAGACCTGGGAGTGGGGACACTCAACATAATGAGGTATCTGAACATTGCAATTCTGTGTTCACGATTGGGTGTGGCTTGCCTGGCCTTTTCTATCTTCTTACCTTGACCTTTCCCGTCTTACAACAATCCTTCTGTTTGTCTTTTTTTTTTCTTTTTTTAATTTTTCTAGACATTATTTTAGTGTTACCTACTGAAACACTCAGGTTCTTTTGTTTGCAAAATATCTTAGAATTACACTCCTTGATTGTCTGAAGTCACTTTTCTCAAAATTTTTAATGACATTGTCTCTTCAATTTGCCTTTTTTCTCGTCACAATTATTTTGAGACAAAATTTATTTTCAGAATATAAATAAAAAGAATGAGAACTTAACATTCTGCTGAGTGATTTTTATCATTTATTCATTCTAATGATGTACACAACAATTTTCAATTATCAGTGGTTGATATTTTAATTTGTTGAACATTGCAATGTAATCCTAGGACTTAGCTTTCAAAAGAATCTCTTTAGACATGATAAACCATTTAACCCCACAGATTCAACAACTACTAGCATTGATTCCTCTGGAAATACTAGAAAAGCTTCTGAGACAGCAAAATTAAGTAATTTGGAAAAGTCCACTTGTATAGGTTAGGTAGCCAGATTCCATAATTCAGCCAACAGAAACTTCACCCTCTTTTTTTTTTTTTTTTTTTTTTTTTTTTTTTAAGTCTGAAAAATTAAATATTAAATCCTGTAATATGCCTTATTGGAGGACATTTCTTAATATTAAAGGTGATGCTTCATGTTTAGTAAGACAATCTGTCAATTGTTCCTTAGATTGACACCACAGGAACTTCTTGATCTGCCCATTCTCAGTTAATTCTTTCACTCCACTTATTTTGATCCACGATTGTTTTTCTCTGACAGATTTTGATCACTTCATTTCCTTAAAGTGCAATTTGTAATCAGTGACAGAAACTATAGGTAATAATCCAAGATAGGTTTAATACAAAATAATTTTTTTTTTTTTTTTTTTTTTTCAGTTATTGGATCTGTTTTAACACCAGTGTACTAAAAGCATTGAACAGATACAATACCAAACAGAAATATATGAAACTTATTGGTACTGATAGGCTAAAAAATAGCATTCATTATTATTATTTTTCTCTTCTTTAAGTTACTTCCTTTTGTGAGCAAATAAAAAGGTTATTTAAAATAATCTGTTAAGAGGACCTGTTTGATTTTATTCATGGTAATGTATATAAAAGTTGATAACCATCTCAAGAAAACTTTCTTTTACAAGTGTTTTATATGTTTACTATCCAACCAACAACTAATAACTATTTATTTTTAGTGATGCAAGTCCTAATTTTGATTGGGTGTAAACATTGCCATTTTGGTTTTTATTACTGCATTGTGTATTTTTATTTATTAATCATTTCACCCCAAGCAAGGCAAAGCCATTAAGAGGTAAGGGGTTATTGAGTATGAAAGAATGAGAAAAAGAAAACATTATTAAGGAGAGACAACAATAAAAGGACAGGAATTAAGAAGACAGAAGAAAATGATTGACATTGTATTTAAATTTTTGAAGATCAAAGTTGACTGGGCACCAAGAAGCTGGAAGAGAGTTTCACAAACAAGAAGTGCTATAGAAAAAACTTAGTATAGAACTTCTGCTTACATCTGGCCATTTCAGCTGTAAAATGATGAGACGTAACTACCAATCTAGTACTGCACTTAAATTCATAAAGGCACAAAAGAGGAACACTCATCAGAACATTGTTCGGTTCACACTTCTCACTAGTCTTTTTAACAGTAGATGTTTATCCCTTGTTTTATGTTTAGGATTGGGTTTCTGGTTCCTTCCAAAGTGTTTACCTTCTCTTTCACTTCCAGTAGCCCCTTATGTTTTAGTGGTATTATTGCTTTGTTGGGGTGAATTGATTAAAAATTACAATGAAAATATTTATAGAAAAGGCACAGGGAAGCTACGTTACGGTGGTGGGAAATTAACTGATGCTAAGTCAGGACCGATAACATGGCATATTCTTCTTTGGATTTTATAAAAAAAAAACTCTAGCAAACATAGCAAAAGTACCAGACCAAATCTGGCAACAATATTCAATAGATGTACAAATGGTAGACTTATAAATGTGTAAGATAGATTCTTGCAAGTAAAATTGTCTAGTATGACATAGCGAACCAACTTTCCTAGCAGCAGACTGAACAATTGATTCAATATAATCTTTCCACTTCATGTCAACTGAAAATGTTACCCTAAGATGACACAATGAGTCACTCTCCTGAAGGTCAGCATTAGCCATGCTGTTAGAGGGCAAAAAAGATTCTCTAAGATGATTAAAAAAAAGTTTTGCTTTTGAAAATCTTAAAATTAACAAGCCATTTCTTGCCCCAGTTAACAACAGACTTAAAACATTTTTAATAAGCGAAGCATATTTTTATTTTTAGATTTCAACTATTTAATATTGATTATAAATGTTATTTCTTATGAGTGAAGGTTCACATTTTATAAGGATAATATTATTATTTCTTAGTTAATAAATAACTTGGAAAGCACAACAATGATAAATTTTCAAGTATTTTTGTTTATAAAAGTTGTTTTCCATAATGCTAGAAAAAATTTCAAGCATTCTCAAAATATAAAAGGGACAACATTTGAAGAAAAAAACTTGGATTTGCAATTAAATTTAAATCTCATATCTGACCTGAACATTCAAATGTCTTTAGATTTTATGTTTTTATTATTTAATCCCATTTGAAATCATAGCTGTATTTCTTAAAAGATTCTTGATCTGTCAGCTTGTACATCTATTCTGTGTATAAGCAGTCTTAACTAACACAAACATCTTTTATCCACTTTCTGGTAGATAAATGCTGGGCAAGCCACTCACAAATGTGTCCAGAGAGAAGCGTTCAAGTTACTGTATTTTGCTGACAGTAACTCACACAAACTAATATGTACAAAGTGGGTACCGAAATGTTCTCAGCTGATCTTGCTTCCTAAAATCAGTATTCTGATACTTGGTCATTAAAATACAGATTTTGGGAAATATGTCAGGCCCAGAACTTTTCAGGACCTCCCATAGAAAAATTACTAACAGTTTTGTTCATATAGATATATAGATGGGTGTTTGTCTTCCCTAGTTTGTTTTTCATATTTATTTAAAGCTATTTCCCAGCATGTACTAATGCACTTTGTGTATGTCTGTAGAAAACTCTCGGTAGCAAATCGGTAAGTATAATTATTTTGTAACAACTTTTAAATGAGCAGAACATTTTTGCTGGAGATGTTATTGCTGCTTGTAATAGAACATGCTGCATTTATAAGCTTATGTAGTGCTCTGGGCTGTATTATTCAGCTTATTAGCAATTTTGCTTCAACATTGTGAATTGTGCTCTTAATAAAAGTGGTTTGCTTTGAATTTGCTAGTTTGAAGTCGTCCTTCTTGGTAGGGCCTACAACAAACCAACTGCATCCACTTGTAAAGAGGTAAAACCCAACCCCAACTAAAATGGGACACACCATGGGTAGGTGCATACAGACTAAAGTCCTAACCTGACTCATACTTACTGCCAGACTGAAGCCCATCCTGAGCAATGTTTACTGCCAGACTGAAGCCCATCCTGAGCAATGTTTACTGCCAGACTGAAGCCCTGTTCTGAACAAAGTATATTGCCAAACTGAAGCCTTAGCCTGGGCCATGTTTACTGCCAGACTGAAGCTCCCTCTTAGGCAATGTTTACTGCCAGACTGAAGCCCCCTCTCGAGCAATGTTTACTGCCAGACTGATGCCCCGTCCTGAGTAATTTTTCTGCCAGACTGATGATGATAAAACAAATTTTGATATTGAATGACCCCCCCCCAACCCCGTTGATATGTCATAAAATCTACCACTAAACATAGTTTATATTATTTTTTTTTTTTATTTCAATAATAATGTACAATTGAAATGTTACAAAAATTAATCTGAAAGATGGAGAAAACAAAACCTTAGAGTATATCAAAATGTTACTTGGTAGAACTATTAAAATTCTCTTTTTTAAAATTTTTTTTTTAATCTTCAGGATGCTCAGGAATTTCTTATTTAAATTTTCTCTTATCAAAATTATCATATTCATCAAAGCATCTCATAAAACTTTAGTAAGTGATATCTATATTTCACTTGCACTTTGTTTTAGATCTTATAGTTTTCATATCTATATTTTTTAATCTTTTTTTAAACAGCTTATTCATGTAATCATGTTTGTTTGATTCCATAAACATTTCTATAAAATCTCAAGCTAGTTAATACTTTGAGTAGAATTTGAAATCAGAATCAAAACATAGCATCCAAACCCAATATTATCAATCTGCATGCTAGGAATTATGACTATTTCCACTTTATCCCACCACAACTTACCTTGTTACTATCAAATTATTCATTTTCCAGACTGTGATATTTTCTAATATTTATTTTGTTAAAAAAGTGTGAAGAGGATAAAATAAATGAAAACTAAACAAAGCAACAATGTGGCCAACTTATTAATCTGATAATGTTTTTAGTTTCGTATTTTGATTCTTATGATTTTTAAAGTAAAGATTACAAAACATTTTTACCTATATGCTATAAGCTCTGAAATGATAGTATTTTATGTAAACATCAATTTTTTATTGAAAATATTTTATGCATACTTTAATTATATCAGATTATTTTTTATTCAAGCAAACATCTGTCATGTCTATTATGTCTCAAAAAACTGTTTTAAAATTGACCCAAGATGAAATTAGATTAAATTCAATTTTTGTTTATTTCTAAAAGCAATGATTTATTAATTTTTGAAAGAAGCAAATACATTTATGATTCTCTCTTAATCTCTCTCCTTTTCTGTCTGTCTCCCTCTCTCTGTCCTTTTTTGTCTCTCTCCCCTTTTTTCTTTCTCCCCACTTTTTTCTTTCTCCTTCCTTTTCTCTGTCTCTCTCTCTCTCTCTCTCTTCTTGTTACAGGGCTCACTGGATAAATTGTCACCATTTTATATTTTTAACTTCATGCATGCATGTTTATGATCTTGTCGACTGCACATTCTAGTAGGGTCAGTTGGACATCATCTTTGAGAAAAAGAGCACCATGATGCAATTCATTCTGTCAAAAATTTGGAAACTGCATGCTGTACTGCTTGGTTTTCATGCCAGAAGCTCCAATATGAACATTTTAGTGTGTTTTGGTGTCAATCTGAGGAGAGTGCAGAAGATTCAGAAAGAGTTGGATGAGTCTAATGGTGATTACGAAGGTGTTTGGACTGATCATGATGTTATGCCTCCATTCATCTTCCCACAGGGTCTCAGAATCAACATAGGGACCTACACAAACTGCCTTGGGGTAGTACTGCCCTGGAGAAAAAGGTGGCTGCTGGAAGGCCTTATGTCTGGCAACATGACTCTGCACCATACCACACAATCAGGAGATCCCAGTCATGGGTATCAGACAATTTCTACGACCACATCACCCTATACATCTGGTCACCAAACTCCCTAGACTGCAACCTCCTTGATTATTATGTGGGGTGCAGTTGAGTGAGAGACCAACGAAACTCCTTGTAATACAAAAGATAAACTGAAGGCAAGGATTATGGCAGCATTCACCAACTTAAACAAGGAGACCATCAAGAAGAGATGCAGGAGATTCCAAAGTCCTCTGGAAGCTGTGGTTGAAGCTAATGGCAATTTTATTGAATAAATTCACTTTAGTATTTCAAGATATTTTTGTGTAATTTTGGTAAATATAACTGTTATAATAAGATGTCAGTGTTTATTTTCATTTATGTGTAATTTAAATGACAATTTATCCATCGCATCCTGTATTTCTTCCTCTCATCAAAAGAACTTTTGATTTATGCTTGTTATTACTTAACTGTTATTAGCAGAAGAATGCTTACATGCTACAAGTAAATTTTTGAAGCTTCCCAATGAGACATTAAATTACTAGTGACTTGTTTTTCATTTTACAGAAAGCTGTTCGGCGACAAGAAGCCTTACGACAACAAGTGGCTCGCTTTGTTTTTGATGTCACACAAGAGGGCAGTGCACGAAAAGTTATCATTGTTAGATCTGCATTGATCATTGTTAACAAATTACACATGCCCGTTACCATTTCTATGTATCCGTTTGGTGGTTTGGGTAAGTGGTAGTAAAAGCTATTTTTTAAATATTACCTTGTTTCAACACATTTTTGTTTTAGATTAGAACTTATTTGTAAGCCATCATTACCTTTTTTATTATTAACATTTAATATAGAAAAGTTAATAGGAAAATGATTTAGTGATATTGTTGTATACTCACCCTTTTCTGGGGGTTCTCTTGGGCAACAATCTCAATTAATACAATGTCTCCCAGTTGGGTGTCAAAATTTTTTAGTAGCGAAATGTTTTGGGTTCAGAATTAAGAGGGACATCAATAAAGGGAATTTTAACTTACTACTTTATTAAACATGTTGACGGGTACATCTAACTAACCTGTGGTTTACCTCCACCCAGATCAGCAGGTACCACCTCTGCAATTCAATATTCTTGGGGAGAACAAAATTCCTTGCCTCTTCACTTGAAACTATATGAAATTTACATACAATTCACAGGAAAAAATACTGGTCAAAAAATTACACAATACATGCCAAAAAAAACCCATACCACAGCATAAATCAATTTCATAACTAAACCACATCCTTGCCACCTAAAATTTGTACTTTAAATATGCTATGATCCACACATATTTTCTACTCTCAGTGACATAGCACACACAGTCCATTATTACATTATTTATTCAACCTCAACCAATTAATTATTTTTTTATTTGCATATTACCAGATTTACTTGAACAAATCTTCACAAATTTGCCACCATTAATTTTCTATAATAACATTTATTGGCCATTTCCCTGTGTGCCAAAACTCGACTTGCATCATCTCCAATTTTTCTGCCCCTGTCTGCCCCCTTGAAGGAAACAACCACACCCACTCAGTGTCTCCTAACTAATCCATTACTGGATTCCTTAGTCACTATTGCAACCTGGCATCCCACAAACCACTTGGCCAATTCCATAACTGGTTGTCAGGACCCTTCTTTGACCCCCAAGATTTATTGCGATTTATATTCACTCGATACTGAATACTTTATAGCATAAAGCTCCATCTCTATTCCCCATTATTCCCTTATCTACATTGCCAGGTGTGACAATACCACCTCCAACACAGACTGAAACACATTTGAAAATCCTAAACTATGCAAGCCAAATTTACTTATTCTCACAACAATTAATTAATGTAATTTAATTTTTCAACAAAAATGAACTCCTAAAATTCACCAATTAACAACTTAATTCTTCAGCCAATGAAGGCAAAAGGACACATACAGCCCTTAAAATAACAAATTTCACACTCTGTTACAAAAATGAAAAAAAAAACAAAACAATAATGTCAGTTTATTACAATTCACAAAATAATTCTAGACTTAAAATATTTGAATGAATGCAAAACAAGAGTCACAAAAATTTTCAACTCATTAACAGTCCACAGAAATCAGTGGGAATGCCCCATCACAAAATGCCGTCAGCCTTTCTTTTTCGAAACCATTTTCCATTGTGTTACGTATGCAAATTCAGACCTCCACATGGCCAAAAGGCTACCAGACATACGCAATTTTGATGAACCCAAAAACATTAAACGTGCCAATCAAAATTAGCAATAGATTTCCACACATGGTCTAAACTTTTGTCAAAAAACAAAACAAAATCCGTCTCTTACTAGTATATTTAATCAAAATTGACATTGTCGCATCAGTGTGTATGTGTGAATGTGGGTGTTCATTGTCTTTTCCTTCTCTTTTTTTGTCTACTCTATTCATCCTCTTTTTTTTCTGTCCATCAAACCCTGCTTCTTTACTGCCTTTTTTTTTTTTGTTTGTTTTTACTCTTGTTTTTTTCATCCCTACTTCTATTTTGGTTTGTTGAAGATATGTGTGTGGCAATAGAGCAAAGTAATATCATTGTACTTACAGATTGTCCAATATGTCTTTACTGTTTTTTTTTTGTTTTTTTTTTCATATTCCTTTTTTTTTTTTTTTTTTCATATTCCTTTTATTTTTATTTTTTTTTTTTTTTTTTGAGTTCTCAGTAGAAAATCCTCTTCAAACTTTTCCATGTTAAAAAAATAATTTTAAATTAAATTAATTTTAAGAATTTTATATGATAAATTCTTTTATAGTAAATGTGCAGGATGTTGTATCACTATAATTTATGAGTATTGACAGTGTTGTGCAAAATCATCCTTAAGATACAATCAATTTAATTTAAAATGATATAATTCTCTTTACCATATTGAAACATGCCTTTTCATAGATAGAATATGATCTTAGGTGTCAAATAAATATACTCATAATTCATTTCAGAAACGTTTTATTCAGTATAATAGCATTATAAATACATTAAAAAATTGGCTAGTTATGCAATTTATAAAATATATATGTATTTATATCTTGTTATGATAAGTTACTCTGCCAGGTTGTTTCTGTTGTAAATTAAAAAAGAGTTTGTTGCAATGAGCATGCTTATGGTGAAAGAGTTATCTGCAGATTTAAAGCAATGAATTCTGAACACTTTCACTTCAGACATGAATTTTGGAGCAACAAGACAAAAACCATTGCAACTCTTCCTGAAAGAGGTCATAAGCACATAAACTCTTAAGATTACAAAGAAAGATTGTGAATGTAAGAACCCTAAAGTTGTACTGACAGTTTCTGATTTGTGATGTAAATTTGATGTAAATATATCTTGTCATACAGTAAGCAATGGGCTGAATAAACATTTTCAGTAGTTATTGTCCAAGAAAAACACATTTGCACAAAAGGCAATATTACACACCCCAACTGGTATTTGTACATCAAAAGGAGTTGATTGAGAATCAATGATGACCCAATCTAGTACAGCTAGAAAAAATTTTTTTTCGGTAGTTGCAATGGTTTACACTGAGCCACAGCAACCCTCTCTTCCTACTCCTACAATTCTAGGGCACACATATATATGATGTCTGAGGAGAGAAAGCAGGCTGCACGGTATGCCAGATAGTACCAAATTATTAAATGCCTTCAGGTCCCTCACTCCAGATTTTCCAGGCTGATTTGAATCCTGTTTTCCTTCTCCTACACTGGTTACCACCAAGGCTATAGAACTCAGTCTGTCCTGCTATTTACCCATAGCTGGGGGGAGAAGGGTATTAGCATATAAGTGAATGTAATGAATTTGACTGGAATTCAAACTCTGCTTTCTGATTCCTCAATCCGAGCTGCAACCCATTACTCCATCTACTTTGAAAAGGACTGAAAACATTTTTTGTGCATTTTCATGGAATCTAATTTTCCACTTTCTGATAGCAATTTCAAGTTTAAGAACTAATATAATCAATCTTGGTATTGACAAAACATCTTTGCCTAATAAAGTATTTACTTGTGATTTACTTTAATTCTTTTCTCTATTTTTAGATGAATCACTTGTGAAACGGACAACAGTTCTAGAACAAAACAACCAGAGTTCTGTGCCAATTCTTTATACATCAGCCTCATTGTGTGTACGACCTTGCAACATGAATGTTGAAGAGTGTTGTGAGCCACTTTATTGGGATAGGGTACGCAAAATGGATGACATATCTGATTACCACCGTGTGTGTAACCCTAAACCACATAATACAGAATCTTTCAGGTAAGTAGTTTGTTATTGTAATATATATTACCAATTGGCACTGTCAGAATTCTATTGGTATTGACAACTAAGATTATCTATTAATTCCAGCCTCTGCTTGTCTCTCATCCATTGCCTGTATCTTCTCATTTTCTCCCTTATCCCTTCTAATCTTCATTAACCATTCATGATTTTATGTAAATGGTATATAAACATGGATCAGTTTACTGTGCAAAAAAATAAAGGGAATGCATAAACTTTTCTTTTACATCCTTTCTCTTTGCCCATCTTCCCATAAAGAATTTTAATCTGTCACAATTTTTACAACTTTTTATTCTTTTTCACTCATTGTCTCTTGGTATCTGGTCATCAAGCATGTCATTGTTTTTCTTTCATTTCTATCCCTTCTCTCTCTGTATATGTCTCTCTCTCTCTCATGTGTGTGTATATATATATATATATATATATATATATATATATACACACACACACACAAAAAATAAGGTTTAAAACTAATTATTAAAAATAAACTTTCTGAAAGCTTTTATTGTAGTTTAAATTTCAAGCTAATGGATTAATATTTACAATAACCAAAATTTAAAAAATTAATTTAAATTGACTGGAAGGAGTTTTTACTTTTTTATTTTATTTTATTTTTTTGGCTCAAATAGCTGATTAGTGCCCTTTTTGAGTTGTCTTTCATCACAATGTAATTCTCTTTATTAAAAAAAATCTTCCAAAAATAAAATATACTTGTCAGAAACTTTATTTGAGGAATATTAACTGACCTAAAGTATAATTAATCTGATTTGAAATAAATATTATTTACTTTAAGTTTAAAATATTGCAGAAATGCATTTAGACTGACAGTTGATGACATCTCTAATGTTGTTCTACGGAGACTTTATCTGTAAAACATAATTAAAGAAAATGACCTTCTTATCTCATATATATATATATATATATATATATATATATAGAAATATAGTCTTAAGGTGTGCTATATTTATGGGATAAAGTGCTCAATATCAGAGATAGTGTGTGTAAATATAAAAGTGAACATTGAAGTCAACACTTAGAGGCAACAGTCTTTTTCATGCTAGATGCAATCATCAGGCCACGAGTGCTGTTTTTTTTATTAACTATTTATATATGCTGGTTAGTGGTGCATTGTGGGTAGTCTATTTTGGTGGTTATTTTGCCGGAAGTCATTTATTTGTTTATTTATTTATTTGGGTTAAATTATTTTGCTTGTCTTTATTTATTTTTTATTTTTATTTCTTATCTTATATTTTTATTTTTATTGGTGTAAAATAGTAAAAAGTTGTTTATATCGCTTATTTAATAGTTTTGGTTTGGGGAGATAAAGCTATTCAATTTTGGAGTTAATTGTTGTAGTTTATTCTAACTATTATTTTGGCGGGACCACTTTTTAATTTGTTTATTATTTCATGTATTTATTTGGATTGATTATCTTTTAGTTTTTTCTAACAGTTAATTTATTGGGATTGGTTTGTTAGTTTATTTATTTGGATTAATTTAGATTTATTTATTTTACTTGTTTTTATTATTTATTTATTATACTGTATATTTTTATTTACTCTTTTCGATTTTTAAGTAACGTATTTTTTTATCGTTATATAAGAGTTACAGCTATGTTTTTCGTCTGATTTTTGGTTTGATTTTTATAGTCTAACTAATATTTTGGTCATAATGGTTTGTTAATTTGTTTATTATTTACTTTATTTATTTGGGTTCATTGACTTTGTTTTTTATTTATTTATTCTATTTTGTCTATTCTAACGGGTGTGATTTGGTAATTTGTTTGGGTTAATTTATTTTACTTGTCATTTTGTTTATTTATTTTTTTTTTTTCAGTTTTCGATTTTTAAGTAACATAGTAAAAATTTGTTTTCATGTCTGCATTTTGAGATGAGCTCGGATCATTTATTTAATAATTTATTTTGGTCTGGGAAGGTAATGATAGCTATTTTTTCCTCCAAGCAAAGTTTGCAAGTTTTGGATTGGTTGTTGTAGGCTGATGATCTTTTCCTTATTTTCCAAGATATTTTTGGTGTGATGATGCATTTTGTTTTTAATTTCCCAGATATACTTAGAAAGCATTGTACTGTTCACATATTTACAATTTGTGAAAGATGTTCTGTGTGCATAATTTCTTTGTTTCTTCGTTATCTGGTGATTTTATCGTGGCTTGGTATATTACGTTGTTCTGTAAGCAATTACCATTTAAGGGACATTCGTTCTTTATTCTCCAGTTACATGTGGGTTTAATTTGTTTGTGTGGTTTGTTGATAGTTTTCCTGTTGTGCTTTTTTATTATTTGTGCCATGTTCTCAGTGCAACTGTAGCTGATTTTTCTGTGTTTTTGTTAAATATTTTGTGTAGGGTGCTTGATTCCGGGAAGTGTTCGTGTAAGAGTTTGAAGAATATTTTTTCTACATTTGTTTTTACATTTTTGCTGTACAGTGGGTTGAACCATATGTTATTTCTTTTCCTGTTGGCCTTTTTTTGTGTTCTGTGGTGCATATGTGAGTGTTGCTGGGAATCCAAAGTTTTTTAGGGCTGTTTCGTAGTCTTTCTTAGCTTTGTTAAGTATGGATTCATTGGAGGAATTGTTGGAAAGTCTGCGGTTAATCGATTTTGGTATCTATTTGATTATAGAAGGCGGGTGATTGAAAGATGTGTGTGTATATAGAGTGATTTATCATTGGGTTTTCTGTATGGTTTATATGTGCCTTTTCTTAGGTTGAAGGTAACATCTAGAAAATCTACTTTGTTTAGGTTAGTTTTTATATCTATGTCGAATCCGTTATTTTTAAAAATCTTTATTATTGCTTTTCTAGTTTTGCCTGTGTTTTGTTTGTTACAGTTTCTTAAGATTATGAGACCGTCGTCCCTGTAGAGTCCTGTGTCATTTCTATCTATTGCTTAGTTCATGTAGTAAATATATACTTATGATTTCATAGGTCTCTGCAAAGCTTCCCATTGTAGTGTCAAAGATCCCATCTTTCTTTATCCATGCTTCTTCATTGTGAAATAGTAATGAGTTATGGGAGTGTTTAATGATATCGATTTTGTTTGGTTTTATTATTATATGTTCCTGAGGTAAGTTGATGGCCTTATCTAGCATGGGTTCTGTTATGGATGGGTAAAATTCTTTTATGTCTAATTGTAGGAATTGGCAATTTTGTTTATTACGTATACTGTGGAACCAGTCAATAGTTGCTTTTGTGTTTTTCCACTGGTTTACTCCTAACTTCTTCCTAAGTTCAGAATTAATTCTTTCTAGTATTGTTTTACTTATTTTACCTAGTTCACTTTTGGATGGGTTTATGAGTCTGCATGCAGGGTTGGTTTTTAAATTTATGTATTTATCACAGTTGACAAAAAAAATTTATACAAACTTGTCACAAAAATTTCACGTAAAAAAATTGCCAAAAAC